CTTCACACACTTAATGATCACCTCAGTTATTTGTTACCTGTTTAATTTTTCTCCCTAAGTGGAATATAAGCTGCACAAAATTAGGGGGTTTTATCTCTCTCTTCATTGCTGAATTCCTCAGGAACTCAGAACAGCATCACACCCACAGTAGCCACTAAGCATGTTTATTGATTGACCTTGTGGCCCCTTGCTGACAACACTGTTATCAAGATATCCCCCCAAGGGGCTTTTTCAAAGAACTTTCCTAGAGAAAGATCATCTCTCTCTAAGAAAAATTATGGTGGCAGCTGTTAAGATAAAATATTTGCCTTTGTTATAAACAAAATATATTAAAAAAATAAAATGTAATAACCAAATAAGATTTAGCCCAGAAATTTAATAATTCAACATAAGGAAATCTATGGATATAATATACCACTTTAATAACTTGAATAAAAGGAACCATATGATGGTTTCAGTATGTACTGAAAAGGCATTTCATAAAACAATACTTATTCATAATAAAAACCTTTTTAAAAAAACAGTACTAGGAAATATGTTTCCTGAAAATTTAGGAGTAGCCATTTAAAGTTAAGAACCCAAACTAGAGATAGTCCTTTCACAAGCAGAAACAAAATATTTTCCACTGTATACCTAAAATTAATATAGTATTTTATGTCAATTATAATTCAATTAAAAAAAAGAAAAGAAATATTTTCTACTGCTCACATTTCCCTACTAGTATGGTCTCCTGAATGTCTTTCAAATATGTCTCCAGCCCTTGATTGCCACTCCCTCTGTTTTAGTTGAGGCTCACAGCACCCCCTGACCTGGGGTATAGCAAAAGCACATCCTCTAACTTCTGCTCTTGTCCCAAATTCATCATTCTTACTGCCACCAAAGCCATCTTTCCAAAATACAGATCTGATCATGTCCTATCCGTCTTTAGAAACTTCCAAAGACTTCCATGTTGAAGATCAAAAGCAAGGGGCCTAACGTGGACTGTTCCCATGGACAGCCAGCTAGTAGACCACCAAGAGGCCATATAAAGTAACATTTACTTGGTAATTTCTTTAGTTTCCAAGCCAATAAGTGCCATTCCAAACCGTCACCCAAGCCCCAAGTTTGCTGTCTCTGCCTGATTGCTGCCAACAGTGGGGGCTTCACCAGGCATCATGAGGCCAACCCACTGTGACTATATCTGAACTTGACACCAGAGTTCCATTTGGAACCTTGACTTCACTTGGTCTCACCAAGCCTCAGAGCTCTTTCATCCTTGGCCACCACACAAGATGCATGCCTCTCTAATCATCTGTTTTCTCGCATATTCTTGACTCCATATTGCTTTGTGTTTCCTCTCCCTCTCTCACTGCTGCCCTCCCTCCTAAACCTTCCAGCTGGCAGATAAAGTCCCCCCAATCCTCAGCCTTTTCTCAGACTACTTCCTTCACTTCTTTGCCTTATCAGAAATTTGGCTGTCCCACAAGCAGCCCTCTTTAGTTGAGAGCTCTCCTTCCAACATTGCAGTGTACCATGGTGTTCAACGGAAGAGCCAGCATTATTTTCATTCCCCAATTCACTTTCCAACTATTATCTGTCCTCCGCCCAAGGCACACAGTACTTACTTTGAAGTTCATACCAACGCATTGCTTTCCTAGTTCTCTCAATTCCCTGGTCATTGAGCATTCCCTGACATTAACATGAAGACTTTGGCTCTAGGATTACAGTTTTCCTCCCTGTGTCATTCCATCATTTTATCTGACATTTGAACTAAGAACTGAGCAACAAGAAGCAGCAACCATGTATAGGTCGAGGGGAATCACATTCCAGGCAGAGGAAATAACTAGTGCTAATGCCTGAGGAACAGAAAGAAGAATAATATGGCTAGAGTGTAGTCAAACCAGTGAGACAGGGGTAAACTACGGCCAACAGTTTGGATTGTATTTGGATTGCAGTGTAGACACTACAAGGGAGTGAAATTAATACGATTTGCATTTAAAAAAAATCATTTTGTTTGTGGCTTGGAAAATGGATTGAATGGAGGCAAGAGCAGAAGCAGGCAGTCCACTCAGGAAGCCATTGCAGTGGTTCAGATAAAAGAGCAGCTTCAATACAGTTATATTAGCGGAAATAGAGAAAAGTAGACAGATTTGGGATATGCTCATAAGAGGATACACGACTTTCTGATGGATTGGGTGAAGAACTGGGACAAGGGGAAGAATCAAGGATGGGTCCTACTTTTTGGCTTGAGTGGACGATGTTGCCATTTAATAAAAATGAGATGACTGAGGGAGGAGCAGGTTAGGGTAAGGGAGGAAAACCTAAGTTTGTTTGAATCTTGCGTTTGATGTATCTGATGAGACACCTAAGTAGAGATGTCAAGTGAAGTGTCTGCAGCTCAGTGATGCAATCAGGACTGAGAAAGAAGTGGGGAGCTATCTGTGGAGCAGTGGTAGTTATGGCACAGAATGGATAAGGTTGCTGAATGAGTGAACAGAGAGAAAAAGGCGGAGGACAGAGACTGGGAGTCCTCCAATATCTAATGGTCAAAAGGAAAGGAGTAGCCAGCAAAGAAGAATGAGAAGGAGCAGCCAGGGAAGGTGAGGAAAACCAGGAGCGTTTTCATCTGGAAAGTCAAATGATGAAATTGTTTCAAGGAGGAGGGAGTGATCATGTGTCTCAAATTCTGCTGAGAGGTGAGTAGAATGAAATGCGGGAAGTAAGAACGTGGAGTAGAGAGACCAGGAAAATTGGTAGATTCAATGGGTTGGCATAAGGCAACTCCAAATAGAATGGACTGAATGTAATACACATGGAGGCCCGATGAGCAAAAAGAAGACAGCATCTGTAGGTCCCTTCTTCCTTAGAATTATATTGTCACCTTGATCACACAACTACCCAAGTAAAGGGGCCAAGATCAAATTTTTAAAATTTTATCACTTCTTTCATTAATTTACCAAGTGGTTCTTGATGCTAATTTGGTTGAGTCTGGTGGAACCATATTTGCTTTGTGTGGTAGACTTGAAATGTCTATTTTCTTCAGGGAACTTCAAATGTCATTATTATCCTACTGAGATGATAATCACACATGGGCCTCAACATTTGGGAAAGCTACAAATGGACTTTGGAAATAGCATTGGAAAAAAGTGGATAAAGCACCAATTTGGGGCTGAGATAAAATTGTGGTGAGGACAAGTTCATCTGTTTTAGCTTTTCTTTCCCCATCTCACAGTCAGAATTCTAAAAAGGTTTTTCACACTTCCTTTAGCATAAGGCAGTAATCATTCGAATGAATTTAGTGGCAGACCGTAGGAGATTTGATTTATGGAATTCATCATCCACGGACTCATTAGGCAATAGTACCGCCCCTCATTTGTCAGTGCTTCTGTTTTCCAGAGACACTATTTTTACATCTTACCTCTAATCACTCCCCAGATTCAACTTTATACATTAAATGCAATCAGCATCAAATTTCCTACAAGATTTTTTATGGCTATTGCCAAGCTGATTCTACAAATTCATAGGAAAGAGCCTATTTGCAATAGTCAGGGTATTTAAAGAAAGACAAGGAGGGGGCTTACATTACTGAAAATCCAAAAATAAATCTGTAGTACTTAAAGCAATGTGGTATTTTGTTCATGAATAGAAAAATAAATCAGAAAAACAAAATGGGAGCCCAGAAGCAGACCCACATGGATATATGGGTATTAGTATATCATAAAATTACTATTTCAAACCTGTGGGAAATGGTGATGGGATAGCTTGATTACCACTTTAATTTATTGATTTTCTAGCTATAGATTTTTGGTTTTGTCTTCGTGGTTGATCTAGAGATTACAATATGCATTTTTAGCTTATCATAATTTACAGAGTTAATGTTGAATTACTTCAGATAAAATATAGGAACCTTGCAGAAGTATGATTTCATTTACCCACCCACCTCCAAGCTTTAGTGCTATTTGTCATGGTACATGTATTTACATATAATTTAAGATCAATATAGGATTAATTAAGAGGAAAAAATATCCACACACAGGCACATATATACGGGGATGTGTATCCTTTTATATTTGTTACATATTTACTACTGCTGGAGCTCTTCATTCCTTCCTATTAACCTGAGTTGCCATCTGGCACCATCTTCCTTTTCCTTTCAACCTGAAGAACTTCCTTTAAAGGGCCTTTCTTATAGCTCAGGTCTGCAGGTGATGAATTACCTCCGATTCTGATTATCAAAAAATGTCTTCAGGGGCTGGCCCAGTAATGGAGTGGTTAAGTTTGTGTGCTCTGCTTCGGCAGCCCAGGGTTTGTGGGTTCAGATCCCCGGCATGGATCTACATCAAGCCATGCTGTGGTGGCACCCCATATACAAGGTAGAGGAAGACTGGCACAGATGTTAGCTCAGGAACAATTTTCCTTACCAAAAAAAAAAAAGTCTTCCATCTGCCTTTATTTTTGGTGTACTGTTTGCTGGTTGACCGTTTTTTCTTTCCACACTTTGTGACAGTGCAGATGTCATATGAAGATTAGTATATTGGATGTAAATCACTGAGCACACTTAGTGAAAGTGCTTAAAGAGAGAAGATAGAATTTGTTCGGGGCTTTCAAGTGTACTCTGAGAATTATAAATGGGCAAGAAGTTACCAGCTCTTCTTGTACTTTGATACATTTCTAAGACCTGTGCTGATTCAGAATAAGGGTTATAAGGTGGGAGGGAGGAGAGAAAAAAACGAAACCACATTGAGAGGTAACACAAGTCTGGAAGGTATAAGATGAGGGAGATGCCCTATATCCCAGGGCTCCTGGGAACACCTGCTCAGAAGATGAACTTGTACCTCCTTCCTTCCTTCCTTATTTCCAGCCCTGCAGACTCCAGGACAACCACCACACTTAGGCATAGATTCGTGACATTCTACAACATGTCAGAGGCTGAACACCTTACAACATTATTGGGAGAAAGAATTTAGTTTAAGTAAAACTAAAAACTAGAGTTTTTTCTCTGTTCTTTTCCTTTGTGGAAGGAAAAAGGAGTGGAATATATGAAGAAAATTGTTGATTCTCCATGTCCCAAAGCAAGACACTTACAATTTGCAGCAGCTTACAACCTTGGAAGAGCGTATTATGAAGGAAAAGGCGTCAAACGATCAGAGGAGGATGCGGAAAGGTAATCTTACGCGAGAACAAGATTCTGTTTTAACCAGATGCTGAAACTAAGAATAACTTGCTTTATCTTTCTCTTTTAGACTGTGGCTTTTTGCCGCAGACAATGGAAATCCAAAAGCTAGTGTGAAGGCTCAAAGTATCCTAGGATTGTATTATTCAACAAAAGAGCCTAAAGAATTAGAAAAGGTAACATTTTTTAATCCTAGCACTATATTTAGATTAATATTTGTTTCACTATTTCTTTTTTGAAAGGTGGGTTGTGAGGAGTAAGTGTGTAATTTTCAATCTCTTACATTTCTTTAAAACGTAAAGGAAATTTACATTTTTGGATCTCAAAGCTCATTTTACCCTTTACTCATCTATGAATGCTACCTTCCCCACCTCTACCAAAGGAGACCTTGGACATGAGAACATTTTGTATGCTACAAAAAGCCACACGTGGGGCTGGCCCAGTGGCATAGTGGTTAAGTTCACATGCTCTATTTCAGCAGCCCAGGGTTCACAGGTTTGGATCCTGGGCACCAGTCATCAAACCATGCTGTGGCAGCATCTCATATACAAAATAGAGGAAGATGGGTACCGATGTTAGCTCAAGGATAATCTTCCTGAAGTGGGGGGGGAGGGAAGCAACACATATAAAATATTATTTTGGTAATAAAAGCTAAAAGAAGAGGGAGAGTCCTGAAATTAAAGCTTAAATCCTTTTAAGTGTGAATAAATTAATATTTGAGGAAGTAACAAATGATACTAAGAATTAAAAATTAAATCCATTTAAGACTTTTTCAGAAATACAATCTCTTTAACTATCAATGATGGAAACATTTTCCAAGTTACAGGGAGAAGGAAATGTGGGGCCAAGTCCTAATTGTAAGAGGCGTTAAGGGCAAACTTGTAAGAGGACAGAACCACTGGGACCCCCCTCGGCTGAGCAGCCACTTGGGACTAACTTTTTGAATGAATTCAGATTCCTAGTGGCTGAGTATTGAGCCAGTGTGCTCAAGACTACACGCAGCTCTTATCCTTGGCTGCCTTTGATCTCGACAGCTGCTGTCTCTGAGATACACTTGGAGCTCTGACTGTCTCTCAGCATCAGTAGCTGCCCTTCCCCCCGCTCCCTGCGCTGTGCCTCATTGCAGGTGTGTCTCAAAGCCTTTCAGATGCTCAGTTCCTCTTTCCTACCTTCTTGACCCTTCCTCTGAAAAATCTGAACCTCCTGAGACCTGAACTTCTAGACTGACCTCACCTGCACCGTGCAACACACTCACCTTAGCACCCTCTTTTTTAGGTACGTGAACTTGGTGCTAACCTGAAATACCTTTGAGGGGCTAGAACTATTTCCTAGAGATGAATTAATAGTGCTATCTTATAATTAGAGATTTTGTCTTTCCAGTATTCTAATTTCACTTTGTGAATAAAAAGATGAAACTGTGCTTCCTTTAGGCATTTTATTGGCATTCAGAAGCGTGTGGCAATGGGAATCTGGAGTCCCAGGGTGCACTTGGGCTCATGTACTTTTACGGACAAGGCATCCGCCAGGACACTGAAGCTGCCCTGCACTGCTTACGGGAGGCAGCAGAACGTGGAAACGTCTACGCTCAAGGGAATCTTGTGGAGTATTACTATAAGATGAAATTTTTCACAAAGTGTGTTGCATTTTCCAAAAGGTGAATAAGCTGGATGCAAGTATTTACAAAAACTCTTACCAGATGTTCTATGCCAGATGTGTTCATCGAACTTGCTGCAATAGTGTATATGACGGCTCTTGAGCATCATTTGCGGCTAGTGCAACTGAGGACTGAACTTTTAAATTTCATGTAGCGCATGTAGCTAGTGGCTGCCATACTGGATGGTATAATTCTATGCCGTTAGTCTTCAGCATTTCAGCGCTATTAACTCTGTGTACCAGCTGAGTGATTTTGAGCAAGTTTCTTAACTTTTAGGGGCATCAATTGCTTTATTTATAAGAAGAAAATACTCCTACTGCAGGACTATAAACATAGTGTATATAAAGGACTTAGCTTGGCACATCAGAGATGTTTATTCAGTAAGTTTGAATTTCCTCCTACGCTCCTCAGCCATCGGTTTCATAACTGCACAATGGCACTAGAGCTTGATGAAGACTGTAAAGTGAGAATAATGGTGAAAAGATGCCAACACTAACATCTCATAAACTGTACGGGAATTTCTCTTCTCTGAGCTCATGCCTTTACCCATAATGCACTAAAGCAACATACCAGGAGAAACATACCAGACCTGGATGTCCTCTAGTGGCCATAAGACCATGCTGATGTATTCCCCCCCAGTATCGCCCTCTGGCAGAGCCCACAGCGGGAGGCAGCCCCACAGTGGAGGATGAGGCAGCTGCTTCTCCTCGCTCCTCAACATGCTGGCTTCCAGGCAGCAGGCTGCTTCACGTGTGATCTCCAGTGTTCCGCCTCTCCACGCACCCACCTGGTTAAAACCAAGACTTGAAATTGTTCTTAAAATCTTTGCAACTTTCCATCCTTGCCCACATTCCTATTCCCCATAATATTACGGTTGACATGGGGTTGACTAGATTCATTTTCATGCAATGAAGGATGACTTCTTTTTATTGCCCATTTTTTAACAAAGATAAATGTGCAAGTTTCTTAATGTGTTTTCTGGTCCTATGTGACAAAAGTACAAATTTAAGGTCATCGTTTAAATAAATGATCCAAAGAAACAGAAAATGCTTTTTTCCCTACTGTTTAAACCTGCAAAGTGATATTAAAATATTAATATTACAAGAAAAAAGGAACTTTTCTTTTGTTTTCTAGTGGTCCTTAAGCCTGACGAGTTTACCACAGGGAAGCTGCAGAGCAGCCGCCCCAGTGGTCCCTTCCCCCCAGTATTCACTGACTGTGTTATATTTACCCATCAACGCACAACAAACAGCTTAGTCCTTAACAGGCAGAACCAGGGAAATCACTTTGGGCACAAGCACAATTTCTGGACATGTGGTTTGTACAAATGTAAACCATAACTGATGTCCTTTTTAATTCCACAATTTCACATCATAACAGGATTGCCGACTACGATGAGGTTCATGACATCCCCATGATAGCCAAGGTCACGGACTGTCTCCCGGAATTCATCAACAGAGGCATGGCCATGGCGTCCTTCTACCATGCACGCTGTCTTCAGCTTGGCTTGGGTATCACAAAGGATGAAGCAACAGCTAAACAGTATTATTCTAAAGTGAGTAAGCCTGAGAACAAATACAAATTGACTCCAGTAGAAATTTCTGGGCTTTTAGTTGAGACTTGGACATCTTTATGGCTTAGTGTTTTTTCCTAGTTAATTATTGTGCAGATAACCTCTGTCCACAGAGAGTGTCAGACATGCAGACTGTTTACAGACAATTCTGTCAGGTTCTTATTAGCATAATTAAGCTCAGATGATAAAAGTCCTATTTTGATGCAAATTATTCTCTAACTCTGCTATTATCAGCAGCCTAAGGCCCAGCACACCAAGACCTTAAAGCCAGAATATTCAGGATTTCTCTCACCCAGAACAAGTGTGAACCTCTATCCTCATTCTAGTACTTGAATGAAAAGTAGTTTTTTGAAAAGTTTCCTATGCACGACATCTACCACGCTTAGGAGGAATATTCATGAGTTTGAGGTAATCAGTTAAAATAAGCTTTTCCTGTTTTAATCCATGTGATCAATTTATTTAGATCCCAAATGCATTTCACATCTAAAATCAAGCAAATGTTGGAGGCACCATATACAAAAATTAACTCAAAATGGATTAAAGACTTGAATGTAAGACCTGAAACTTCTAGAAGAAAATATAGGCAGTACACTCTTCGACACTGGTCTTAAGCAGCATATTTTCAAGTACCATGTCTGACCGGGCAAGGGAAACAATAAAAAAAATAAACAGATGGGACTACATCAAACTAAAAAGCTTTGCACAGCAAAGGAAACCATCAACAAAACAAAAAGACAACCTAACAATTGGGAGAAGATATTTGCAAAGCATCTATCTGGTAAGTGGTTAATATCCAAAATATACAAAGAACTCATACATCTCAACACCCAAAAAACTAACGACCCAATTGAAAAATGGGCAGAAGATCTGAATAGACATTCCTCCAAAGAAGATATACAGATGGACAACAGGCACATGAAAAGATGTTCAACATCACTATCAGGAAAATGCAAATCAAAATTACCATGAGATATCACCTCACTCCCATCAGAAGGGCTGTAATTGGGGCTGGTCCCGTGGCCAAGTGGTTGGTTCGTGCGCTCTGGTTCAGCGGCCAGGGGTTCACTGGTCTAGATCCTGGGCACAGACCTACATGCTGCTCAAGCCATGCTGTGGCTACATCCCACATAGAGAATCTAGAATCACCTACAACTAGGATACACAACTATGTACTGGGGCTTTGGGGAGGGAAAAAAAAAAAGAGTAGGATTGGCAACAGATGTTAGCTCAGGGCCAATCTTCCTCACCAAAAAGCATACTTTTTTTTTAAAAAAAGAAAAGAATGGCTATAATTAACAAGACAGGAAATAACAAGTATTGGAGAGGATGTGGAGAAAAGGGAACCCTCATACACGGCTGGTGGGAGTGTAAACTGGTGCAGCCACTATGGAAAACAGTATGGAGATTCCTCAAAAAATTAAGAATACAACTACCATATGATTCAGCTATTCCACTGCTGGGTATTTACCCAAAGAACATGAAAACACAAATACTTAAAGATACATGCACCCCTATGTTCATCACGGCATTTCTCACAATAGCCAAGACTTGGAAGCAAGCTAGGTGCCCATCAAAGGAAGAATAGATAAAGAAGATGTGGTAATATATAGATGATGGAATACTACTCAGCCATAAAAAATGATGAAATCTGGCCATTTGTGACAACATGGATGGACCTTGAGGGTATTATGTTCAGCAAAATAAGTCAGGGGAGAAAGTCAAATACCATATGATCTCACTCATAAATAGAAGATAAAAACAATAACAAACAATCACATAGAGACAGAGATTGGAGTGCTGATTACCAGAGGGGAAAGAGGGAGGGAGGAGGGCAAAGGGGTGATTAGGCATATATGTATGGTGATGGATGGTAATTAGTCTCTGGGTGGTGAACAGGATGTAATCTACACAGAAATAGAAATAGAATTATGTACACCTGAAATTTTAAAAAAAAATTTAATTTTTAAAAGTGAGGAGGGGATGGGGAGGGGGGAATCATTATGAACAGTAACTAAAAGTGAATTTTTTTTCCTCCCCAAATCCCCCCCAGTACATAGCTGTATATTTTCTTTAATTGTGGGTCCTTCTAGTTGTGGCATGTGGGACGCTGCCTCAACATGACCTAATGAGCGATGCCATGTCTGTGCCCAGGATCCGAACCCTGGACCGCCAAAGTGGAGTGCATGAACTTAACCACTCGGCCACGGGGCCAGCCCCAATGCAAGCGAATTTTTAAAAAAGAAAAAAAAAAAAAACTACGCATGCCTTAGGGCCATGACATCCATGAAGTCCAAATTAGAATTATATCATCATCACATTTATAAAGCAATTCGTGGAGTGCTGGAAAGCAAATTGTTCAGCTGGAGCAGGGGAAGAAGGCAAGGAACAATTTTTCAAGTCCCTTGCCTGAATCTGATATTACAGCAGTGATTCCCAAACTGGCTGCGTATTAAAATTACCTGGGGATCTTTTAAAAATTCCACAGTCCAGGCCCTCTTTCAGAACAATTAAATCACACCCAGGAGGTGGGACACAGCACATCTGCTGACACTCCTCAGGGCATTCCAACGTGCAGGGAAGTTTGGGAACCCTAAATTATTGTTTCAAATTAAAATTTCCAGAGCATCAAGCCCATATTAACACACTAATACAGGAACAAAGTACACAAATACAATGGACCTTTGAGACATTTACCACTCCACCATTCTATTAGTATGAATAATAGTTGTCTTTAACTTTTTAAAATTTAAACGTTCTCTCTCTCATACCGATTTCCAAACCACATCAATTTCAGATTCTATGCTATCTTTAGTATCCTTTTAAATAAATATAAGCAGAGAAAACTCTGGGTCAAAGATATCCTGAAATGTGGCATATGTTCATCCTAAATAAAACAGCAAAACAAGCAGGTTACAATCTTAGAACTATTTTCCATATGGTGGGAGATAATAGCCCCACTGGATTTTTGGCCATTGTATTTTATGGGAGATACTTTTAAAATGGAGAAAATTCAGAGATAAGCCAGTGAAGGGTTTGGAATCCAGTCAAACAGAAACTGAGCATTTTATTCAGAGACAAAAGGAGAAGAGGGGGTCCTGACAGTGGTCTTCACAGACTGAAAGGCTATACACAGAAAAGGAGCTGTCGGGGAGGGAGAATTCTAGCTTTAGATGGCAGTGAGTGATGCTGAAGAGATGGTGGGCTGAGTCAGGAGACCCATGCCTGCTCTCAGCTCTGCCACCGTCAGGCTGGGTGACTCCCAATGACTCTGCCTCTCAGGGTTTCCATGAAGCCAGCGTTATACATTCTCCTAGGACCCTTCAATGATTCTAGAGTACATGGAGGCAAATTTTAGCTTAATACAAAGAAGCATCTTCTAATACAACTTGTCGGAAAGAAAATAAACAAAAACAAGTTTTTCCCACAAGACAGTAACTTCTTGCCCCTAGAAGCAACCATGCAAACATCTAGTGACCAATTGTCATGGGTATTGACGGGACAATTTCTGCATGGAATTAGGTTTGGAGGAGATAACCACTGATGTGTCTTCTGAATTCTTGACATTCTATGAAATTAGGCACTACTACTTATCACTATTTACTTTAGTCATAATAAAACTATATTTTTTCTTTTGTTTCTTTTTTCTTTTTGAGGAAGATTAGCCCTGAGCTAACTGGTGCCAATCCTCCTCTTTTTTTGCTGAGCAAGACTGGCCCTGAGTTAACATCCGTGCCCATCTTCCTCTACTTTATACGTGGGACGCCTACCACAGCATGGCTTGCCAAGCGGCGCCATGTCCGCACCTGGGATCCGAACCGGCAAACCCCGGGCCCCCAAAGTGGAATGTGCACACTTAACTGCTGTGCCACCCGGCCAGCCCCAAAACTATATATTTTAAAATATGATTATTGTAGATGCTGCTATTCATATAATAAGATAATAAGTTTGAGGATAAATGTTAATGCTTTCTATGTTACTTATTTTAATAATTCATAACATAGAATGCTATCATCAGTGCATAAATTCCCTTCAATCTTGGCACTGATAAAATTTTCTCTTTTTCAAATGATAATAGCATGGTTATTTTTAGTATGACCTTTTTTGCACAGGCTCATCTGAACTTCCCTTATTAAGGAATCAGAATAGAAATGCATCTTAATTAAGAAATCCCTTTGAAATTCATTGTACTTTGCTATTCTTAAAAACGAACCGAAAATTTTTTAAAAACAAAGACCCAACAATTCAAAATATATCTAAATAACTGATTCTTTATCTTTGCTTTTAAGGCCTGTCGTCTGAATCCTGCACTGGCAGATGAACTTCACTCTTTAGTTATTCGTCAAAGAATTTAGACCATAATGCATTGCAACAAAGATCGTCCATCCTAACACCTTAAAAGGTGGGTATTCTTATAGTAGCTATGTTTGATTATTTTCTGCATCCCAAGTGATGTTATCCTGGGTGTTTTACTGATGACACAATACCTTCATTCTTGAATCTGTATCCTATAATTTTGCAACTTAAAGCCTACCTACAGGATCAAGACCTGTCAGAAGTGTCTTCAAAGATCCAGCTCTTAGCCTAGACCGGCCAAGACCACTTCAATACTGAAACCAGTCCATACAGCAAATATCTTTTCCTTTCTTTAAATACAAAGTATCCCAGAAGACTTAGTATAGTCTTAGTTTTAGTAACTTCAGAAGTATAAATGCTACAAACTTATAAAAAACACCATTTAAAAGTTTAATTTTTAAAAGTTCTTTGATCTTTACTTTTATGAATTTTGGATAGTAAATTTTTAATTTTAGTTTATTGTTTGTCATTTAAAAATTTTAAATTCAAACTTCACAAAACTAAGAAAAAGAAAGAAATGTGAAGAAACTTTCAGATAACATTTTTTTCAAGTCCGTGCGGCGTTTGTCCTCCCGAGGCTGTGAAAGCTAACACTGCATTAAGGCTTTTGGAACGTCTGGTATTCCTGAAAGACACTCTTATAAAATTTGGCTACTTTACTATAAACTTCAAAAAAAAGTGGCTTTAAGAAATTGGTTAGAATCTTGCCCCCCATATCTTGCCTTAACAATCTTAATTTAATGAGTAAAATAACGGCTATATTCCTGATAAGATAATCAATTAAAGCAAGACGTTCCTTTGTGCCTCAACTCATTTTCCACATTTGAAAAACCTTTGGTTTATTTCAAAGCAAGATAAAATGTGAAAAAATCTCAATAAATCGTCTATCAATATAAGAACTATAACTAAATATTGTTAAAAAAATTAGCAAGAGGCTTTCCTTCTATCAGTGACATCTGTGAAGGCAAAAGGTGACAGTAAATATAGCAGGATCCATATGAGGAAGATGTATAGCGATTTACATCTGTGAAACAAATATATTGAATTAACGATACCTTAACCATACCTTCTTTGTAAATATATTAAACTGATGTGGCTTTATTTTATAAACCACAACCATCCTTTCCAAAAGTGGATTTAAACAAGACCTCATCTTAGTGGGACAATGCAATTAACATGTAGGTGCCAGTCACCAAAGAAGTATTGTACAGCAGAAAATTACTTGCACTTGTTTCACGTTCTGGTTTGTCTAAATTATTTGAACTTTGTGTGTGTGCATGTGTGTGAGGAAGATTGGCCCTGAGCTAACATCTGTTGCCGATATTCCTCTTTCTGCTTGAGGAAGATTGTCACTGAGCTAACATCTCTGCCAATCTTCCTCTATCTTATGCGGGATGCCGGCACAGTGTGGCTTGACGAGTGATGCTAGATCCGTGCCCAGGATCCGAACCCATGAACCCTGGGCCACCAAGCAGAGTGAGCAAACTAAACCACTACACCACCAGGCCAGCCTCAATTTGAACTTCATTTTGTCTTTACACAGAGGGAAGAAATTTCACTGGACTCAGGTCTGTGAGATACACTCAAATGGTCATATACTTCTCCCCAAATCTCTTAAAAAGTATAAACTTAAGCCACCCATGAAGACCAGTCCTTTTCCTTTAAAATCTGTACCGAAGACTCTCTATTCTTCCCCAGGAAAGAGACGTTTCAATATCTCAAGCCCATTACAAGACTTCATAATACCTAACAAATCTCTTTCTACAATAATAAGCCCACTCACTTCGCTCTTGTTAATACCATCCATAAACATTCCTTCAATCATCTGAAGATCTAAATTCCCAGCCAGTGTCCTCGTCTCCATACGTCATCCAGTTCCTTAAGCCTTTCATGGGAATGTAATAAGGCAGTGCATGTTGACTTGCATCGCACAGTTAATAGATCTGCTATCTTTCTTCATCCCAAAGTAAAGACCACTTTTTTAACTGTCATTAACATACAGGTCTGAGAAATGCTAAATGCAGGAATTTGACATGTGACACGTGGTAATGTGCTATGCTTAAATGTCTTCCATGAATCCAACAGAGGATTTAAAATTTCACTTCACTGTCATTACCACAAAGCTGGTGCTCCTGGCACAGGTGAGCCCCTGCAACTACCACTGCCACAGACCACGGCGTCCACCTCGACCTGAGAGGGAGCCAGTCACTGACTCAAGAGAGTTGAAGATTCCAGATCATTAATTAAAAAAAAAAAAAAAAAAGAAATCAAAACTTCTGTAAGATTCCTGATAGGTGATGTCCCATGAAAAAGTGAGAATTTATCTTAAAGAAACATTGAGGAGTCAAAATAGTTATTTTTCTCATTTCCAGTATAAACTTAACAGCTGTAGTTTAATTATGTATCAGATGGACATTTCCAGGAACTGTGTTATGATGAGCTGCCGGGGCTCAGTGACTTCCCACTGCTTCTCTCCTCTGAATGTCTTTTCTACACCCCTACGATGGACAATTCTTATCCACATAGACGGCCAACTTTGTGTTTCTTCTCAAGTGTTAAATATCACTCTGGTTTGAAAAAAGGATCAAAGAGCTATAATTAAAAGAATCCCAAAGATAAAACTTGGCTTACTAATTTTTAATCATTTGTCTTTCAGAACTTATGTTTCATATCAAGAACTTGGCAGGTATGACTTATCAATGATATAATAAACACCACTTTAATATGTATAGTGTTTTTCTTTCATGGGTTTCAAACTGAACTTCTGCCTATTAATTGTTTTGCTTTCAGTATTCCTGAGGGTTAGGTAGGGGAAAGTGTTTTATTATTGCTGTATAACAGATGGTGAAACTCAAGAAGTTTAAGTGACGTACCCATGGCCCACTATTAACAACAAAACAAAACATCTGTGCCCTGGATCTCACCCAATGCCCTTAGTGGTCCACAAGATGTAATGATAGACTCTGGTCCCTAAACTCCCCAAAGTAACTTCCCTCCCCTTTCTGTTTCCATGTCTCATTCCTGCCCATCCTTCAAAGCTCAGCTCACATCCCGCCCCCATGCATCATTTCAAGCACTAATTTGGTTCTTCTAATTCACTCTAAAAATCACATTTTGGGGGGGGGGGGGGCGGCCAGCCTGGTGGTGTAGTGGTTAACTTTGCATGCTCCACTTTGGCAGCCAGGGGTTCACTGGTTCAGATCCTGGGTGCAGACCTACACACCGCTTGTCAAGCCATGCTGTGGCAGGCGTCCCACATATAAAATAGAGGAGGATGGCCACAGATGTTAGCTCAGGGCCAGTCTTCCTCAACAAAAAGAAGAGGATTGGCAGCAGATGTTAGCTCAGTGCTAATCTTTCTCAAAGAAAAATTTAAAAAAATAAAACTCCTATTTTTCACATATTCATTCTTTGTCTGGAGTAAGGCAGCAAACTCTATACCTCCTTGAAGAAGTACTTACAACACAGTGTGTTCTCCAAAAAAGGCATCTGATAAATATTTGAATTGCCTGAAGTCTTTCGACCCCTTCTTTTTTTGAGAGAGAAGCATCTTAAACATCATAGAGCTCTATGATTCATTTTTATATTTTATTGCTTCAAATGCTTCAAACTATGGGAAATCTTTGGTAAAAATAAAGACAATAAAATTTTCACGATAACCTCACACAAAGCATTGCACGACAATGTTCTTCAGTACACACGAAATAATACAGGAATGTTCAGAATCCTCAGTGAGGAAATTAACTGTACAATATTCATAGTTCTTCATTTTAAAACAAAACCGTTTTCATAAATATTTAAAATATTTCCTAGGTTCTTATCACATATTAACGTGTATTTCAATCAGCATGTTGAACTTTAAAGTATTTATATTATTATTAAAATAAAAATCAATACTTAACAGAAGTGGTTTTTTTCCTGTTGCCTACGACAGCATCATTTCCTCCCCTAATTCTGCTTACTTCACATAAAACTAAAGGGAGGGAGCTAAAATAAAAATCAATATGGTTCTCAGTCTAGCCCTCTGCGGAAAAGAGGAAAATGTTTCATGTCTATTATTACACAGACATTTCTCTGGTGTTTATTTGTGCAGTCTCAAACTTGACCAGCTTTAAGTTGATCTAAATGAGTTCTCAGCTCAGGACACAATTCAATTAGCAGCAGTTCCATCAGTACCTGAGCCAAAAAAGAAGAAGAAAAAAGGGGGAAAGTGTGTTTTTTTTCTCTAAGGGTTTAACTCAAAATAAATATCCACGTCTAAGAGAAAAGTCTAATTTTAGGTCTGAGATTATTCTCAGTGAACAAGTTACTCTCAAATGAAATTAATACTTATTTCATGTCTGTTAAGCATTATCAAACCATCAATGATATTTGATATTGCTAAATATAATCAGATGACTGGGAAACAGTTTGCTTTGCTGAAATAAGAAAACCAATCGAGTGAAGGGAGACAACTAGTATGAGAGAAGGAACATGCTTCATCCACTGGGGGTACTTTTTTCTTTTCTTTTTTTTTAACCCAAATTGAACAGACAAACAAAAATGAAGCTGAGAAAATGAGCTCAGAGTTACAAGTAATAAGAATGATTAAGAACATAAAGAATTAAAATCTAATGTATTAATTAAACGATTTCTTTATTTTAATGTAGCTCAGTTTGTAACATTTTCTTTATGGTTGCTGCTTTTTTGTGTCTGGTTAGCTATCATTGCTTTTATTCAAGTATTTGTTTAAATCATTTACAAATTCCACCATAAAGTGAATGATGATAATGCTTCTAGTACTATACTCTTGTTAACCAGATTAATGACCCAAATGACAGTGAAAATGTAGGCAGTAGGGAAAATATCAAATCTCTTCTCCTCTTTCCAAAGGAAGTAGTTGCCCAGTGTGTGCCACCTGGGGTTTCAGCCTTTCTCAGTTCTCATAAGGAGGAAATCAGGGGCCTCAGCTACTCCTGGGTTCTCACCCTGTTCTCTTCCTGCCTAAGTCAGGATGCATCCAGGTACAGGCTCCCCATATGGGTAAACTTGGCAGGACAGTATTTAACTCCTGAGGAGCAGGCAGGATTTTAGGAAGGATATGTTCAGGATATTTGGGAGGTTATCTGGACATTCCTACAACTCATTCTTCAAATGCTTTCTTAGCAATAAAGCTGATATTTTACTTTTCATCTCCCCGAATCTCTCAATTAGTTCAAAACTCGGGAGTGAGGAGGAATTCCATGCATTGATTAGTGCTTTGAAATTCCAAAGTGCTATCTTCTGCTAACATATGAAAGACAATCCGATGATGTCAAAAAATAAATCATGTTGAATGATGCAAAGAAAAAAAAAAAGAATTAAAATCTACCCTGATATGGGGACAGAAATGTACAACTGGAGAAACAGTTAACCCTCTGGTAGGCTGTAAATTACTCACGTATATCAGATGCTTATTGGCTCTGGTTTCTTGCAGTGCATTGAATATTTTTATTATACCATGACGAGCATTTTGCTGTCCAACAAGGCTCTGAAGCGCATCTGAAAAATGAAGTTTATATTCCATGCTGTTATTGATAAAGTGCACTATGCACAGATAGTCAGTGAAGGAGCTATTCCATGATACATACACAATCGATATCAGCACCGAGCCATGAGGAACATGAATGATCAGCTCTTTCAAATGTTTAAAGAGAAAATAAGTTTATTTACAATTTTTCAAGGCAAGGCATTTTCAAATGCAAGGCATTTTTACAAACTACAATTTTAACACAGCGCTACCCAATTAAAAATTAAGGCTCAATGGGGCTGGCCCCGTGGCTGAGTCGTTAAGTTTGCGCGCTCTGCTGCAGGCGGCCCAGTGTTTCGTTGGTTCGAATCCTGGGTGCAGACATGGCACTGCTCATCAAACCACACTGAGGCAGCGTCCCACATGCCACATCTAGAAGGACCCACAACGACGAATATACAACTATGTACTGGGGGGCTTAGGGGAGAAAAAGGAAAAAAATAAAATCTTTAAAAAAAAAAAAAAAAATTAAGGCTCAAAATAGTGTTCCTTAGCAGGATTTTCAAAGCACAAATTTTATCTGTTTTAAAACATCTTTCTAGTTAAGAGAAAGTATTATAACCAGGATTGTTCTTATTAAGATTCTCAGTATAATTTCTTAGCAAAGGACAAGATACGATTTCAAAGAAAAAAAAAACAGTGCTCATTTTTTTCATTGTAAATAATGTTTCCTGAGGGATATAAATGAAAGATGCCTTAATAAGGTTAACGCTGCCTTTTGATCTCTGTGCTTTGCAGGATCGGAACCCAGGCCTCACCTGGAATGTTTTCGAGCAGTTTCTGCTGGGCTCTCTGTTTTGTTTCCTGACTTTGTTCTTTGCTTCTGATTGTGGTCGGTGGTGCCAATCTCCCATTCGGCCAAAAAGCATCCCGGAAAACACTGATGTAGTAAACCAACATTTGCTCACTGAAAATCCAGTTCACTGTGTCCCGGATTTGTCTTTTAAGAGAAAAATATTTCTTGGATGAGGTTTTTTAAAAATTTTATGCTCTATTCTCAAAAGGCATTTATCAATGGGTAGGTTAAGATACAGCCTGATCTAAATGTTTGATGAATAAACCAGAAATTGGATTTTTAAACTCTGGCTCTACAAGTCATTTTTTATTTGCTAAGACTGGATGACCATGCATTCCTGGAGCTCACAGTCTCACGGGTACTGACTTCTCCAAAGGTTCGCCCATGCGCATCTTTCAATCTGCAAAACGGGAACTGAGAGGGGACGGCTGATGTGCTTGAAGCTTGCAACCATGCTTAACCATGCACAGTACTTAATATACTAATTTCTCCATGAAGAGGTATAAACTGAAAACATAAATCCATTTAAAGACTGTTGAAAGTGGTCTGGAAAAGCCCCCTGAGCTCCTGAAGTCTTGGGGAAGAACCAAGCTTTTTCGCTAGCTGTCTCTTGGTGTTGCTATGGCAGATAGCGCTGGGCAGTGTTCCGACCCAGGGCAGACCCCTCACACGCTCATGGGCATGGGAAAACAGGGAGCTCCTTTCACCATAAAGTGAAGGACTCTCAACGATACACTGCTCTCTCATTTCACGTTTCCATGGGGATGAAAAATTGGGCAGACATCTGACTTGCACAATTATAAATAAATGGCTTTTATCTGGTTACTCAAGTCTTCCACACTACACTATTTCATTAGTCATTAGTCAAATTCTAACCAATTACAGGATTTCCGCTGTCAAGACACAAGTAAACACGTTCAAAGAGCCCAAAATCTCTGCTGAAAGGGGAAAAGAATCATCTTAGACTCTTAGTGCCAGAAAGACCTGAAATTTCAAACTCAATTCATGAATAATAAATCAAAAAGCTCTTTAAGAACCTGACTTGCCAACCAGATTTTTAAAGGGACAACGTACGGTTTTCAGAAATGGTATCTGAAATCGATGTTTTAAGCCGAGTACTTTGCACACAGAAATCAGTCACTATTGAAGTCTAAACTTTCCTGTGAGTCAAAACTATGCTAATTCTGTTTGTAACTGCATGTCTCCTAGGATACTTCCCTGTGTTGCTTAGAACTGTGCAATTCCTCTCTAGACCAAATAAAATAATTTTACTGATTTAATGGGACTTCTGCTTTTAAGAGAGAACCTGCTGACCTGCCCAAGAAAAATCTACATAAAAATGTGGACGTCTTGTTTTTTCTGTACTCTTGCTTTGAGTTACTCCCTGGCACTCCATGAAGAAATTAAGAAAATTTCCATTTGCAACTTAAATTAGGTAAGTGACTCTTACCAAAGGCCATCACCTAAGCATTTTCTATTAATTTAGGCCTGACTTTCTATTAGCCAAAACCGTAGGAAGCTTTTGAAGCGATTCTGGTATGTGAAATTATAGTTGGTACAAGGCAAGAGGCACATATTGTGCTGCTGCTTAATTTTATGATGTGTCATCATCTGCTAAAGGCAAAAATAGCAAAGGGCCAGGTGCTCCATAATGTCTCTACCTGATCAAAAGCCTGTTGAAATGAACAGCCTGAAAATTCTCTACGTGATGCCCCTCCTCCAGCCCCATGAAAATAACTGCCAAATGTATTCACCACACACAAACCACAGCTGCTCATTTTATAATTAAGGGCCAATATCATAAATAGGAGCAAGAAAAGTATGCATGATTTGCTGAACCTGAAAAGGAAAATAAATGAGCGAGTCTGGAGTGCTGAGAAAAACAGGACCATTTTGGCAGTTTCTTTATCCAAGGCCTTGTCAATACTAAGGTTAAGAAGTTTGCCTTAAACTGAAACTGTAAGTTAAACTGGCCATTTTTCTGATCAAAATAAAAGCCTATGATACTAAGTCAACAAACAAGCCACTAACACCATTTTTAAAAAAAACCTTAGAAATAAATAGAAGTAAACTTTCGTTTATGACCATAAGGGAAATATAGTCTATTTGCAAATGAATAAAAAGATAGTATGTTCTTTATGTTCCCATCAAAATTGATAAGATTTATATGATTAAACTATATCATATTAATCTTGTACATATGTTTGACAACTAAATCTTTCAGAAAAAGGTGATAATTTCATGTTAAGACATATTTTGCTGTATCAACAAGTGATTCTTTCCCTCATTTTTAGCAGGTGATTCACATTTTTATTGTGCAGGAATATCATAATGTTGATCTCTTGAAGAATACTGGGTATAGAGTTGAACTTTTATGTATTTCGATAATGTAATATAGTTTAGAATGTACATATGGCTTCTAATATTGTTATATGATACACACGCCCCTGAGGGATACTCAGATATTAACTAACAAGAGGAATTACTATTTTGTTACCTCAACTCTAAAAAAATATATGGTTTGCATTTTCCGCCAAAGAAATACCTGTCATTTGATGCTCATCCTACTTTCATTGTGGCTGACAGTCTAAGCCTTAAAGTGCTTCCCACCATCTGACATAGAAACATTGTACCCAAGAAACTCAAAACGGTCATCATGATCAAGAGACAACTTTACAGAACAGAATCTCGTGACCCCTGTCAGCCAGATGACAGAGGTGGTTCAAGCTCTTATCATCTAGTTCACCAAGCATTCTGTGGGAGAAGTTCTTTCAGAAATCTGCTTCCTTATCCAATCTTAGAATCATATCAGAAGTAAGAGAATATAAAATACCTTTACTTAGAGAGCTCACTGGCTACTACACCACAAGGAGATGTCACTATTAAGGCAAACGCCAAGGGCATAAATTCAAATATGAATTTCAGGCAACTCACTTGTTGATGGTTCTTCCAAAAGTGACCTGAACAAGAGCAATTAATGTTCTTCTCACCCATTTAAACACTAAAATATAAATAAGAGGAAAAGTATTATCACAGGACATCACAATTATGACATTTTCATAGCTGCACAAAGCATAAATCTTACCACTTAACTCAATCAGAGGCCTGAGACCAAGTCAGGGCTATCATATCTGCAGAATTTGGGTCCAAGTTAGCAAACTTCTGCGCAGGAAAATTCCTCTAAGCTTTCATTTTCTCCTTAGCAATTGCTAAGATGAAACCTAAGAGTTTTTATAGCTTTTCAATGCCTAAACAACAGCTGAGCTAGCAAGTGGAAATAATACTTTACTTCATATGTCCCTGGGCTACTGCGAACATATCTGTTTTTCACTAACAGACAGTACAATTCCCATTTCAGATTTCTATCTGGCTTGTTGAACCCAATTTTCTAACACACTGCTCTGAATGAGAAACACCTGTAGAGAGATGTTGACAAATATTTTGAAATATTAATGAACTGATGGGTCTAGCTGCTCCCATGTCAACAGTAGTTTGTAGATCATCTCGTACTCTCCTATGTTTTACGCCTTTAGGGGAAGAAAGGTAAACTGCGCAGAGCCAGGATCCTGAGTGTGACGTGAATTGAGCACTCTTCTGGGCCACTCTCCAGAGCAGCTGGGCACAATCACTTTCTCTGAGCCTCAGTTTCCTCATCTGGAAAAGGGCAGTATTAATGTGCTTTTTTTTTTTTTTTTTTTTGGCTCTGAGGGTCTTGTCACTATTTAGTGCAAAAGAGCACTGCGAAGGGTTCCACAGATCTAAACTTTTATTATGAACACGGAGACAGATTTTTGCAAGTATAGACCATGAATATAAATCAAAAGAAGGCAAAGAAACGCTGTGAAGATATTTCAGGTCCACAAATTAGAACCTAAACCGAATTTCCCATTTATATATTTACCTCCTTTCAATAAAATGTTTATTAGCTACTGACCCATGAGGAAATGAGGAACTCAAAGTTTGCTATAATGGAGGCAAGAGTTCAGGGCTCCTGCACCAGTAAGAAAATCTAAAAGGAGCAAATTCACAAACAGCTCTCTACAGGGAAGACACACAAACAGACATCAACAATGAACACAGTCTCGGTACTTGACTTTAAAACATTCTATGGTCTTTTTTAACGTTTTAAATGTATCTAAATGTCCCGTTAAAGTAGTGTTAATCCTTCAAGTAAGAGTCAAGTCTTGGAATCAGAACAACGCCTCAAACGTGTCGTAAATTTTTGATGGGATTCAGAGCACGCCGTCAGCAGGCAGACGTGTTCATTTGGGGCTGGTGTTCAGGCTGAAGGCAGCATGTCTGTCAGTGTCAATAACTTCACTCTGCCTTTCTAGGACAGGAGAGGAAGCTCCCCCTCAGAGGGTCTGAGGGCACGTGCAACTCTAGGAAGAATGCCCGGCAGCCAAGTGACTGCTTATAAATTTTTAAAAAGGCTATATTACTGGTTCCATTTTGGATAGTAAACCAGACCAGGAACCAAAAATGGCTCTGCTACAGTCCTCTCCCATCGGTGCTGCGCCCTTACTCTATGCTTTTTCCTACCCTTCCCCGTCCCCACCCCCATAAGAAAAAGCCCCATTACTCCAGAGACTCATTCGCTCAAAGCCGCAGAGGCAGCTGCAGCAACGCTAGGATTTTGCTGATGGCAAATACATCACATCTCATTATAAACGACGCTCTATTTCTTCCCCTCTGAAATGTCACTAGCACAACCAAACATGCTTCTGAGCAGGCATATGAGGGAGGATGTGCACGCTGCAAGACGGGATTTGGAGCCCTACTCCTGCCCGGACTGGCTCTGACGCATCCGCACGTCTCAAGCTCTTTGTATCGCAAAGAACACACTGACAAAAGGCTGAGACGGTGCTTCCTTATTTTTACCAACTTTATGCGAAATTGGCAGGCTTCACGATTTAATGGGCCAGACTTCAATGAGGAAGAGTTGGACTTTGGGTGGAGTACTAATTTCCTGCCCACAGAACCAAGTTAAACATTAGTATGCATCCTGAGGACTAGTTTTTCTGCCTCCATTGAACCACGTTAAACATCAGCATATATCTTCAACTGTCTAAAATATGGAACAGCTATAGCTTTTTCATCTGAAAGGATCTTTAATATTTGGATGATATTCCATCATATGGGTATTTTTTACATAATTTATCCCCCATCTGAAGTTTAGGTTAGTTCCAACTTTTCATTATTGAAATTATGCTAAAATGAACATCCTTATATATAAATCTCTGCCTGTAGTTTAGAATTTAATTGTGTGTACTGCTTGATGTGAATTACATCTTTGAAACTCTTATGTTGTAAATTCAGTGAAGGAGGAATCTGCATCTGATATATTTTTGTTTCCCCTACAGGGTTTTATCTAAAACATATGCTCCCCAAATGTGTGCTGATTGATATTATATATTATTTTAGCTTAGGGGAAGAAAAAGTTCAATGACCAAAGATAATTAATTTTAGCATTTAAAATTTTCCTGTCTATTCATTCATCAGTGCATCCATCCAGGCATTTTATTGATCATCTACTATGGATCAGACATTGTAGGTGATACTGAGGATTAAAAGACCTTATAAGACATGCTCAAGTTTATAATAGTACTTGAAGTTTTTTCATCTGTTAATAATTCTGCAGGTGACATGTTAATGGATATATAAATAAGAAGGGATGCACAGCCCCATTTCCTATAAAACCAACTCCCAGCCTACCTTCTTCATCCCAAGGGAAGAGATGCTAATCTGAGTGGAACCCAGGACGCTCACAGGGCAACATTCTACCAGTTGCTGGCAGTGCCTTGCAAACCCTTGCTCCTCTCATTTGCTTCCTCTGCTAGGGGGTTAGATGTGCCTTTAGGTACCTGCCGCACCTCTACCTAGTACTGAGGCTCTGGTATACTGGTCTCACGATGTAGAGTGTTGGGGGCCTGTGGAAGGTGTGAGTGCTATATGGGACTCAAGACTGAGCCAAGCAGTACAATTTGACCTCACGCCAAAGTACCGCTTTGGGGAAGACTTGTGCGGGTCTTACCAGATACAGTATTTTGATCTTCTTTTTGCTCTTGTTTCTTCTAAGTACATCTCTCTCAAGAACTACTAGGGTAGGGGGCTGGCCCCGTGGCCGAGTGGTTAAGTTCGCGCACTCCGCTGCAGGCAGCCCAGTGTTTCGTCGGTTCGAATCCTGGGCGCGGACATGGCACTGCTCTTCAGACCATGCTGAGGCAGCGTCCCACATGCCACAACTAGAGGAACCCACAACGAAGAATACACAACTATGTACCGGGGGGCTTTGGGGAGAAAAAGGAAAAAATAAAATCTTTAAAAAAAAAAAAAAAAAAAAAGAACTACTAGGGTAGGACTTCTCAACCTCAGCACTACTGTCATTCTGGGCAAGATAACTCTTTGCTGTGAGGGGCTGTCCTGTGCACTGCTGGGTGTCTGGCAGCATCCCTGGCCTTCACCCACAAGATGCCAGTAGCACCATCCCCCAAGCTGTGACAACCAAAAATGTTTCCAGACATGGCCAAATGTCCCCTGGGGGCAAAATCCCCCCACCCCTCCACTGACAACACTCCTCTATGGGAAGAAAGGTAGTTGAAAAGTTAGGGTAAGGCACTCCTGCATCCCCGGCCATAATCCTATCTTAACAGCACCACAACCTCACCTTCAGCAACAGGGCTCTTCCTCTGCTCTGCAAAATTATTTTTTGTATACCTTTTGGTGGTAAAGCAATGCGGCTATGCTAAGTCACATAAAAAGAAATTCAAAGCACTCTATCTTCCTGCATTCAGAGGAAAACGGTGCAGGGTGACTCGGGTCTCTAAGTTCCATAAGCACACAGATGATTTTGTCTTAAGGTTGTAACCTCGGCTCCTACCATGGTATCTGGTGGGCTCTTAAACGTATTTCCTGAATGAATGAATGGAAATTCACGTTTGATTCAGGAATAAAGGGATATTAAATGTGTGTGTGTGCACCACTTACCCAGCAAATACCACTAAGTAATAACAAAGAGGCTTGCTTACTTCCGCGAAGTTCGAAAATCTCCCCGATCAACATGAAACATGGCTCAGCCAAGGCGTCCTTCCTTCCATCCATATCATCACCATAATCTGAGAGGTCACTGTCCTCCTCTGTCTCCTCCTGGAGGCACAGAAAAGTCATAGGAAGCAGATCATTTATGCAAGAAAGTTGGTAAAGTTATTGTCCTTTTTCGAGTGTAAATTCCAAACCATGTACTCATATTTCAACCTTACATAACCCTTCCACTTTCCTACATGCAGAAATTAATGTATTTTCAAGAAAGAGGGCCAAATGTATCTAACCTCAGGGAAAAGCTTGATCCTAAAGCCTTATTCAAGGTTTAAAATCATTTTGAAAACCTCTGCCGCTGTATGAATCAGGAGTGAGTTAGCAGAGAACAAAATAGTTTTCTCACCATTTTGAGTTTTTAAAGTTGGATGATTCTGAATTCACTGTTCTTTTTTAAACATGTATATTTTAAAGTAATTTAGTTATTTTTAAAGCTCTGATGCAAGCTTTTATTCTGTACTTCAGCGTGCCTCATTTTCTGATCTGCATTATCGGCAAGTTTCAGTTCAAAACCCATTATACGCCAGGCACCAGGCTAGTGCAGGTGCATGTGACATGGATCCAGACTTTCAGTGGCCCATAGCTCTCTGGGGAGACTGACACATATGCACACAGCTGTTTCTATAAGCAGACGAAGTGCCGTCAGAGGGACAAACACCGGCAGTGGAAGGGCAGCTGGGAGAGTTCATTCTAATGTCTGCAGCGAGGTAGACAGCTAGAGAGGCCGAAGTTGTGGGACCAAGCAGAGGACTAATGACAGGACTCTGGGGGGACAGGATGAGCAGAGGAAAGGACTGAGAAGTCACAGAGACAAGAGGAGTTCCCTTAAACTTCACAGCTTTACAAGAAGTCCAGCAACATGAAATGCTGCAAAGAGGCTGCAGAAGGTGAAGACGGAGAGGAAGCCACCAGATTTGGCCACTGGCACCACCTTCAGAGAATAATTCATGGAGGGACTGGCCATAACACAAATTCCAAGGGGTTCAGGAATAAACGGGAGGTAATGGAGGTAAGCTGGCCAAGCAGAGCCAGACGTTACATGCACAGCCATGAAGGAAAGAAGAGGGAGAGATGTTTGGGAGGGAAGCGTGTTTACACACAGATCTGAACCCTGGTGTGGGTATGCTCTATAGTACACACTGACTTCTCCTCCTAGCTCAGAAGGCAGTAAAACAGCAGGCTCCTTTCCAGCATCAGGTCCTCTGTCCAAACTCATTAAAGCAATCCCGGTGAAGAGGCAGTGGCGTTTGGCAATGAACTAAGGAGATGCCAAATTCTGGAAGTGACCTTGTGCAATTTGCTGGAGAGTCAAACAAGGGGCTTTGGTGGCCTAAATATAAGTTAGGAGCTTAGTCTGAGGGGAAGCCTGAGGTCCAGAATATAAGATCCCAAACGTCTGCAGTCTCTATTCTTTCCTTTACCCATACATTATCTCCGTTAAATTCATCTTGCTTCAAAATATTCCATGGCTTTCCATTCCCTGAGAATAAAGTCTATACTCCTCAGCCCAGCATGACCTTGCCCCCCTCCTCCTCCTCTTTGCCTCATCTTCCATTAACCCAATATAGAACCCGTCCCCTCGAGTCCAGTGACCTGCTGACTGTTCTGCAAACACACCTTCCTCTCCCAAACCTTCAGTCTTAGCTCCAACTCCTCCATGATGACAGTCTCATCCCCAAGGACTGGCTATCCACTTTCAGTGGAAGAAGTCCTATAGAACTTCCCATCCACGTTTCCCTTACCCACCTTTTGTCATTAATCTTTTCATTTCCTTTTTTTTAAATTGATGTCTGTGTTTTATCACTGGTTAAATAGCTTTCCCTCCTCCATTTTTTTTGAGGAAGATTGGCCCTGAGCTAACATCTATTGCCAATCTTCCTCTTTTCTGTTTTCTCCACAAAGCCCCAGTGCATAGTTGTACATCCTAGTTATAAGTCCTTCTAGTTCTTCTATGTGGGATGCTGCCACAGCATGGCTTGATGAGCAGGGCTAGGCGTGCACCCAGGATCTGAACCAGTCAACCCCAGGCCACCAAAGCGGAGTATGCGAACTTAACCACTACACCACTGGGCCAGCCCCAATCTTTTCATTTCTGTATCTTAATTCTTCCGAGTGGCTTGTAGGGGAGCACAAGCAGGTGTCCCCAAATACAACAGTGATCATAACTGAACATGGATGAATTTGTTTTCTCCCGATTAGCAGCAAGCTTTCAACAAATAACTGTTATTCAAACAGCCTTCAAAAAGACATTCATTTAAACATGCTACCAACATGGTACAACTTTAAGACAGCTCACCTCTTGATGGGAGAAGAAGTCACGAGGAAGTCTCTCCAAAAATGAGGACAATGAAAAAGTGGGTTTTTTCCCCTGCACATCAATAACCTTGAGGTAGTCAGGAGAAGGGCTCAAAAAGGCATAAAGTGCTTCACTCTGACAGAGTCTTTCATCCGAAAGCAGATTCTGTGGAAGGAAGAGGATTAACCACTCCTATACAGGAATATATCCGTGTTGCGAGAAGCTACCACAAGTGGAGACAGACAAGGCAGAATTGACTGCATTGGGGGATTTACTTACATCATAATTCTGAACCTAAAACCACTTCCCTTTCCCCATGAAAGAAAACACATTAGATCAGTTCTCAATGATCCGAGTGGCAAGCGATCCTCTCTAGGATAACAGGAGTGTCCTAACCATTCTGCTTGTGGGAGATACTGTGCAGACAAGAGAACTCACTCCAGTTTGCACTGCTCAGTGCAACACAAAACTCTCCCTTTGCACACAGCTTACAGATCCTGGGACCTCTGCCTTTGAAAGTCAACTTAACTTTCCCTCATTTGTGTCTGAACAACTTACGTACTTGCACATTACACAAGGATACGCCTAATCCACCCCTTATGGCTATGTTCAGACTTCATGCAACAGCTGAAAAAAGAACTTTGAGTTGTCACATGGTGGCCCTGCCTGCCAGGCAATAGTTTTATTTCATTGTGCGGCCATCTTCCAAGCCGTGCTTGTTTGTGTAATTACCTGTTTCTACTGGCCCTTCCCCTGGAAATTTCCTCAAGTTCTTTATGTACTTATCTGGCCTTAGGAGAGAGGAAAAGAGGATACAAATCAAGTCTGTTTATGTATAAGCAAGGGCTACAGTAAGACAGTAAAATTAATAATGTGACCACAAGAAGGTTTAAATGTCTACTATTAAAAGACACAGGAGTAGGAATAAATAAAACAGTGGGAAATAAGGTGTAACCCCCTTGGGGGAGATGGAACACTGGGGAGCAGACTGTGCGTCTGATGACAGAAACTGGGGTGGTGGAAGAGGTTAAGTTCTAGTCCCAGAGGAGCTGGGCCATGCTGTTCACATTATATCTGTTCAGACAAAGGTTGACATCTGATAAACCCTATGGCCTTCCCTAGGATAAGCACCTCTGAGCACGCCCAATGCTGCCACACTGGGGCCGGGGCAGCCAAGCAGCTCCACCAGCTTTCCAGCGGCTGTAGCTTCACGTATCCTGCAGAAGATTGGCCTGAAGATGGACAGGTTCTACCTTACATGGGGGGAAGGAGATTAAGGCGGATGGGCAGGTGGGGTCACTCTGCCTTCCCTGGCCCCTGAGCCCAATAAACAGGCCTTTATTCCTTGTTGAGAGTAGTAATGTTCAGTTGTGTGTGAGGGTAGATTAGGACGAGTGAGACAGTCTCCCCCAACTTGATTTCCTTTAGCTAATCTACGTTCCAACATTATTCTATAAAATAGTAGGAAATGATAACTAACCTTAATACAATCAATATAAATAAGGAAATGATTAAGGGTGTTAAGTCTTTGGCCTAGGTTATATTCCATGATGAAGGAAAATAACCAAATTAAATTATGTGTGAAAAGTCAGAAATGTTCTCAAAGATTATGTCTGTAGGGCAAGGCATCAGTGGGATTTTATAGTCTTTAAACTCTGAGAATGGAATCCCATTCCCAACTCCTTCCCTGCAAACTCTTCAAGCGCGTTATTCTGTTCTATGAAGACCTAAGATGAGTGTTCAGTGGATGATGGAGGAAGGTGCAAAGCATCCCGAGCAGAGTGCACACCACGTGCACACCCAGAAGTGGGAGAGAGCCAGAAGTGGGGAAATCGCTGGAGTAGGTGGTATGTGTATGTGAGGATCCAAGAAGATGGCATGCAGGAATGAAGTAAGATATAAACGATGGCATGGCCAAGAATGATTAGCCAGATTATTGAATATCTGTATTATTAGTATGTTTCCAGAGGGAACCACATGTCATATATGAACATCCAAGTAAACATACACTCAGTGGAATTCCTTTTTCTGGGAGGTTCTGTGGACCTAACAATATCTGCCTTTCAGACGAAACTTTCTGCATCTTGCTTTTCCTGTTTGTGGTTGGGGGGATAATATAGTCTGCTGTGTAACCCACCTAAAAATACTGAACAGTTAGTTAGCATTTTCAAATAAAGTCTTTGAGGAAATGAAAAGCTTTTTAAACCAGTATTTTCTGACTTAAGATCCTCTTGATTAAAAGATAAATGGCCACTGTGTCATCTGGCTTAGCTGCAGCTTATTCCTGCCCTCAGCCAGGCCCACACCACCCATCGGCAGTGCGCCAGAGTGCACGCTTCTCTTGGTGCAATGGCAGCACTCACTAAACCGTGTGCCTCACCAACAGTCCACTAAGGGCACAGAGGACCCCTCTCCGCATCCCGGAAAGTGCAGGAACAAGGGCAGTCTCTGCAGCATGTCAGGAAAGGCGGCTGCAGGGCTGGGAAGACCAAGCAAACTGAGACCCTCCCCAACCACAGAGGCTGGAGGGAAACCGCAGAGTCAGCTGGAAGGTTCCAAAGCTATACGTCCCGGGGCTTACCAATCCTGGATTCTGAATAATACACATTCATTTCACAAAAAGGATCTTTAACTCATCTGAACAATTTAATCAGGTACCATCCTTGAGTGGGTTTAATATTTCCTAGACATTCTGAATCAGCAACAAAATGGTAGTATTTCAGGTTTAAATACTCTCCAATAAGAGCATCTGAACATTAATGATTCTCTACCCCTGCCCTGCCATAATTAAACTCAGAAAATTTGTCTAAGGTGCAGTTATTTTATTTCCAGATATATATATGTATATTTGTTTACATACATATATGTTTACACATGCATACATATGCTTATATACACACATATACATATAAAGAGAGAGAGGGAGAAAGAGAAAGATGAATATATGAGAGAAAGAGATTAACACTTTCAAGGCAACTCTGGCTTAAATGTATCTATTTTAACTATGATCCATCCTTCTGATTCAATGATTATGTTTTAACATAGCTTTTACTAAGAATTTGGCAACATCCATTATTTAAAATCTCAGGACTTCTAGTTACTACTGCAGAGGCAAAAAGTGTCTTAGAAGGCAAAGTTCCACGTCTCTGAGAATTATAAGGGCCTTGGGATCCACGGTTTGAGTAACTTAACTATACTCTGAATATAGAGAGCCCAGCTAAGGAAAAACTGGGGCAGCTGGCCCGGTGACACAGCGGTTAAGTTCGCACGTTCCACTTTGGTGGCCCAGGGTTCGCCGGTTTGGATCCCGGGTGTGGACCTACACACTGCTTGTCAGGCCATGCTGTGGCGGGCGCCCCACATATAAAGTAGAGGAAGTTGGGCATGGATGGTAGCTCAGGGCCAGTCCTCCTCAGCAAAAAAGAGGAGGATTGGCAGCAAATGTTAGCTCAGGGCTAATCTTCCTCAAAAGAAAAAAAAAAAAAACACACTGGGGACAGCCTTATTCTCTAAAAACAGACTGAAGGAAAACAAAGGGTCTAGAGGAAATTTAGAGAATATCTTTAGGACCCCGGAGCAGGAAAAGATTTCTTAACAAGCACAAAAGGCATAAATTGATAAATTGGACTAAATTAAAATTGAGAACTTCTGTTCATTAAGAGAAATCATTGAGAGAGTGAGAAGGCAATGCACAGAAAGGGAGAAGATATTTGCAACACATGGTCTAACAAGGCTCAAATCCAGAACACACATAGACTCCTACAGAGCAACACGGGAAAGACAGACAACGGGACTGAGAAGTAGACAAAGACGACGACTTTAACGTCATAAAATAAACTATCCAATTGGCCAGTTCACAGTATGACTGGTGCTCAACTTCATTAGTCGTCAGGGAGATGCAAATTAAAACCACAATAAGCTACCAGGACACGCCCATGAGAATGGCTGAGCGCTGGTGAGGATGTAGAACAATTAGAACCCTTACACACTGCTGGTGAGAGTGTAAAAAGTGCTACCACCACTGTGAAAAACTGGAAAACCCAAATCCCTAGGTATTACCCAACACAGAGTCACCAAAAGGCAAGCACAAGAAGTTTATAGAGGCTCTCTTCCTAATTGCCTCAAACTGGAAACTACCCAAATGCTCAACAATGGAAGGACTGGAATCTATGTACTCATGCAAGAAAAAACCTAAACAATGAAAACGGATGATCTACAATGAAAACTGCACTCACGAGGGAGAATCTCATGAATATGATGCTGAGTGAAAGAAGTCAGATGCAAAGGAGTGCACGCTGTATGATTCCATTTATATGAAGCTCAAGGACAATGTCGCTATCTGTGCTGTGAGAAGCCAGCACCGCGGTTCCCTCTCGGGGAGAGCAGTGACGGAAGGAAGCTGGAGGGGCTGGCAATGTTCTGTGTCTTGGGCTGGGTGCCAGTTACAAGGGCGTGTTTGGTTTGTGAAAATGGAGAAAGCCGTACACGTATCATCTGCATTTTCAGTATGTATGGTATACTTCAATTACCCAAAACAAAAAAAAAGATCAAAGATATTTTGAGGATTTGGCCTGGCCTGTGAGAATAGGAAGCAAACAAGCAAGCTCTTAGAATGATGACTATTTAACCCAAAATAGCTAACGACTCCTCTCATATCCAAAACTTGTCACTCACTCACCTGTAAAAACTTGTTTAATTGGTTCTTTGACTTTTCCATAAACTTTTGATCTATAGATTTGAAAGGCAGCTTGCTCAGAGAAGGCAACTGGACTTTTTTTAAAGAAGGGAAACACTGGAGGGGAAGAAAATTAAATGTTAGTATCTTGAAATTACATTTTAATCTTAAAAAAAGATTTGAGAATTTTAACCAGAACAAACCAAGTTATCTTCTTCTTGTACTCATTCCTCTGAGATTTCAGACCTTGGAAACCTATGTGTTCTAATGAGGCTCGAGGAATCTGGAGGAATGGGACAAAAAAAGCTCAAGCTCATCCCTACACCCATGAATGCCTGGAAGCCGGGAAATCCTGAAGCCACGCTGGGAAGATGGATTTGCACAACATGCGTGTAGCACAACATGTTAGGTATAGACACCTGGCTCACAGGAAGAAGGTTTTCTATTAAAAGGTGTTTTGTTTACAACATCTCTGTAAAAAGTTATCAAAGTTGACAAAAGAAGACAATGGAAAGAGAATCATTTGGGTTGTACCTTTAATACTGCCTTTCAATGTCAAACTGCAAAATGTAAATATATTAATAATAATAAAATATACTAATAAATAATAGCAGACTTCCCGTTGTAGATTAAGTCCTACATTCTGCCAGACACTGCTAGAAGCTTGGCATGCGTAACAGCCCTAAGCATTCGGAATTATCATCATTCCTATGTTACATATGAGACGATCGAGGATCAGGATTAAAACCCAGATCCACCCGACCATAAAGTCTGTGTTCTTAATGCCAATTCCCACAGGACTCTGCCGGTCTGCCCCTCAGACACTAAGAGGGCAGTGGGTTCCAAAAGCTCCACACTCTGCCCTCACTGCCAAACCCTGGCCGTCAGGAAGGCACTGGGGCCATCTGAAAATGCTTAATGAAATCAACTGGCATTGACGAGTAAGTGAGCACAGAGTCTGCCTGCCACAGCTTTTACTCCTGTTGCCATCATCACGGTCACAGTAGGCCCCGCCAGCCTGGCCATAGCGAGGGACAGTATGTCACAAGTCACTTGTGACAAGTTCATGTAAATGCTTCGGGTGGTGGAAACGGAAAAACTGGCCTTTCCTAGACAGCCACTAAAGCACGAGTACAATGACATCCGCCCAAGAAGGATTTTTAATTACGGTTCAAATGCAGGGTGAAATTTTAGAGAACTGCAACAGCCAGTGAGAGCTGGAAGGGAAAATTAAAATCACCAGGGACCTGAAAAGGTGATTCCTGTCACAGCTGTTAACAGGAAGGGTTCTTTCAGAAAATGAAAATTCACACGATAGGAAACAGCAAGGGTAAGAGAAGAACCCATCCATTAGGCCACAGATGAGGAAAGGTGACAATGAGACGAAAGGACATGGAAGTTTATTAGGTTTGTTTCTTCCAACACTTGAGTGTCATGGTTTTTGGTTTTCGAAGTACATTTTATTTTCAACATAGATTTTATTTCAAAATCCCCCCTAAATTCCTCTTCCTTCTGTTTTTATCAGCAACTGGATTGATACTAACCTTTGGCTTCACAATGGTTTATCACAGAGCAACTGATGCATTTTCCTGCGTTGTTAATTTTACTCAATAATTTTGGGGAAAATTTATTCTTAAATTAAGATAAATATTTGCTTTCCACACTGCTAGGGTGAACACAGTCCATTTGAGAAACGTTGTAGTACGACCTTAAGCTTTGGCCACCATTGGTTTTAAAAGCAGTTGAAGAAGTAATAGAGTTCAGAAGTTAGTGATTAAAAGGGTTAAAAAAAAATCACCCTATCAGAAAAGGTGAAAGGAAACAGATATATTTCATTTGCAAAAGAGGGGTCTGAGAGGTGACCATAGGGTTTACCAGTATCCGTTCACTCTGAGCAAGAGAAACATGGACCTAAGTGAAAACAGAAATGATTGAAGAATTTTTTTGATTGCTGGGGGAAAAGGCAATTACCTCCCATAGGAGGAGAGTTAGGAAGATGCAATTCCCGAGGAAAGTGGAAGAATACTGAATTGAAAGTGAGATGACCTGGATTCTAATCCTGGTTTGGCAACTATGTATACATCCTATAATAAGTCAATTAAATTCTCTGGGATCAGTTTCCCTCACCTAGCAAATACAAGAATTAACCTAGATTAGTGGCTTTCTAACATTTTTAACTAAACTCACAGTAGGAAATACATTACACTGCAACCCACACACATATGCACATATCTGTATCTATATACATAACATACCCTCACCTATAAAACTGAAAGGTTTATGAAACAATGTTCGTTACTACTTCTAATAATAACAACAACACAATAATGTTTATTACGTGCCACACATTCTACTAAATGCTCTGTATGCACTTATTCTCTTAATTCACACAACTCCGTGAGATAGGTGTGGTGGGTGCTATCAATATCTGCATTTCATTGATGAGAAAAAAAAGGCACAGAAAGACAGAGTGACAAGTCCCAGGTCAGACAGCTCATGAGAACTCAAGCCAGGATCTAAACCTGAACAGTCTGGTTCCAGACTCTGTGCTTTCAACCATGACACTGTGTTGAGTCCTTTAATTTTCGTGATAAAATCCAATACATTCTATTCTCTTTCTACTGCTGCAACCCATAACTGATTTCACTACGCACTAATGGGTCACAACCGGCAGCTTCGAAACCACTGGCCCTACACGATCCCTAGCTTTCCTCTAGCTCTGGGCTTCTGTGGCAATCTACAGCAGAGATCAGACCATTATCTGTCCTGAGGATTTAGACTAGACTAGACAGTAGGATCTATGAGCAGATTTCTAAATGTCAGGCTGAAAATGCCACTCTGCCAGTATCAACAGCAAAGGAGAAAAATTAAACAGTTTTCTTATGCGTAAAAATTGAGATGAGCTCTTAAATCTCTTCTTGCTCGGTAATTCCGAATCTTGTGTTCACGAGCGTTCATACCTCACTAAGTTTCCGGTGTAAATTCTGAAACTCACTGAGCCTTCTGGGGACTGTCCAGTTCTTGGTCTCCACTCCTCCAACTTCTTGTAAGCTCACCAGGACAAAGTAACAAGGCATTTGCTCACCATTCTCTTCTGTAACCTTGGGGGGAAAAAAAACAAAAACAACAACCATGGTGAGATGTGGCAGGCAAGATTTTTAATGTCCCCAAGATCTCCCTCTCCCTGGTGTTCACACCCTGCATAATCCCCGGGACTGTGAATATCATGGTTGCTATTTCGACAATTAGCTTGTGTTATACGGTACAGTTGACCTTAACCTAGGGAGATGATCTGGATGGGCCTAACCTCACCACACGAGCGCTTTAGAGCAGAGAGATTTCTCTGGCTAGCAGCAGAAGAGCAAGTCAGAAAGTCTGGAAGCACAAGGAGGACTTGATGTGTTGTGGTAGCTTAAAGATGAAGAAGATCTGGAAAGGATCTGAGGGTACTTCTAAGAACAACCCCCAGCCGTCAGCAAGAGAACAGAGACCTCAGTTCCACAACCAAAAGGAAGTGAATTCTGCCAATAAGCTGAATGCACCTGGAAGTGGATTTTTCCCCAGTCTCTAGACAAGAACTCCATCTGGCGAACATCTTGATTTCAGCCTTGTGATACGGTGAGCAGACAACCCAGTCATAAGCACTGGACTTTTCATCTACAGAATTGTGAGCTAATAAATGAGTATTGTTTTAAGCCATGAAACTTGTGGTAATTCGTTATACAGCAAAAGAAAACTAACATAGCAAACTTAACGTGCTAACTGTTGTTTCCTCAAAAAACCAATTAACAGCAAGTAAACAGGTGTGAGATACACCAAAACCTCTCAGAAAAGGATGAGGGCCTCCTCAGTTTAATTTCAAGATTCAACAAACCACGATTTCTATTTTCATGAAATTTTACATCAGGAAACAATTTCCTCTCCCTCTCAACTTAGATAATTCATCAACACATACACACACACCATCACAATTCAGAATAGGCCGGTATTATTCTTAACATACATAAGAGAAGAAACAAAAAGAAAATGCATTGAATTTAAGGCTTGAAGTAGTATCATAAATCCAATTAGAGAGAAAGAGTCAATAAGAAAGGCAGAGGAAAGAGACACAAGACTTACTGGGCACACAGTGAGCCCTGTGAGGCAGGACTATTATCCATCTGTAAGGCTGGGTGAAGTGGAGGCCGAGACAGGGTCACTGGACTGTCTGAGGATCACACATGTAGTAAAGGGGTCACCAGTATCAGAACTCAGGAGGGTGTGGCACGATGGAAACACACCTTCCACACATTCCCGTGTGACTGCTTCGTGAACTGTGGCAGTCAGGTGAGCCCTCTGTGTCCATTTCCATCACCTTTTCAGTGACCAAGGTGCCAGAGGCAAGCTCTGAGTAACAACTGATTACCAGGCAAGGTGCCTTGTGAGGGTTTTTCCTCCTGCTCTCCCTCAGTGTTTGCCTTTGGAAGATAATTTTAATAAACTGAAATGTCAGAGCAGCTCCAGGCAAAACCAAAGAGGCGACAGAATGTGTGTTCTTTCCCTCCTCTACGACCTTCTGACGTTACATACACCTGAGCCTACCAGCTTCCTAGACTTCCAACCTAAAGATAACTCCATCCACCACTATCAAGAGCTTCTGTGTGGTACGCCAAGGCTGAGTGCAACCCTCCCTGACCCCTGCCCTCCGCCTCCCCTCAGAGTAGGCACATTGCCCTGCAGCTTACCTTAGGGGGAATGACAACAAGTGCCAAAGACACATGAGAGTGCTTGCTTCAGCTCTCGTGTGATGTGTGTGCTTTCAGGAGACACGCATGGAGTTCTCATGAGAACGTTCTCTCATGGAGAACGTACTTTGTCTCACTATCTAATCTAGAAGTGAATTTATGACTGTGAATTTTAAACCCTCCCCTGAGTTAAGCGTCAAGCTACTGGGTTGATTGGAAAGGCAGGGATGAACAAAGACAGGCCCTTGCAAATCTAAGGAGTATCTGACAAGCCTTTTGAAACAACGATACGGCAAAACACGAACCCTACCTCGCTCAGGATCTTGTTATTAGTGTACCATATGGTGGACCCGTCTTTTATCTCGAGGTTTCCACATGGCTGATAGCAGAGCAGGCGGGAAGGAAGGCGTCATTCACGCTAACCAAGCAAAAGCCTATAAGCATCCTTCCTTTCAATGAAATTATTTTTACAGACAAAAGAAAAGGGATGCAGAATATTCTGAACACTATTACTCCATATTCCTCAGAGAACAGCAAAATATTTTCTAATTCAAAGGAAAAAATATTCATTATTAAAGATCTCGGAGCTACCAACTCTTGAGCAAATGAAGTTGGCAGGATGGAACGATCAGAAACACCACTTACATTTTTAATTTTCATCTCCAAATTTCAAGTAGTGCTTTCCATCTTATTTCAACCCTCAATGGAAAAATAAATTGGTAATTCAAGGACATTTAATTGTTCCGATCTGAAAGTTGCTTACAATTCCAGGGAACAAGGACAGCTTTCTGTCTGAAGTGGAGTGAGATAACATCTATACCAGGCAACCTAGAAAGCTCCCAGTCATGGGTGAACCAGAGTGAAAATATGGGGGAGGCAGGTAAGAGAGATGCAGTCTGAAAAACAAATGTAAGTTTTCTATCCTTGACCTTAATTCTCCAGGACAAAATCTTGCCTTATAAAGTCGAACTGTTAAAATTGAGAAGAAAAGCAGTCAAACCTACCTCTCCACTAGTGATGGAAGCTTTCCACATGCCGAGGTTCTCACACCACCAATCCGTTCTTGCCATGTGCAGTTGCAGGTCTGTGCGTTCTTTCTCTATCAGAATTATTTCCTCCTTCAACTTGGAAACAATCTGCCTCAGGGAAAACATCCTGGGAGTTATGAAACTATTTAAAATGCCACGCAAGGCAGCAAAGTAGCAAGAAACAAAATTAACACACAAAAATCAGGTATGTGTCTATACATTAACAATGGACAACCCAAAAAGGAAATTAAGAAAACGATTCCATTTATAATAGCATAAAAAATACTTAAGAATTAACTTAAGCAAGGAGGTGAAAGACTTCTACAATGAAAACTACAAAACATTGAAGAAATTAAAGAAGACATACATGGAAAGACATCCCATCTTCATGGATTGGAAGACTAAATATTGCTAAGATGTTAATGCTACCCAAGGCAATCTATAGATTCAACACAATCCCTATCAAACTCCCAATGACTTTTTTGCATAAATAGAAAAAAATCCATCCTAAAATTCACATGGAATTTCAAGGGAAACTGAACAGCCAAAACCGTCTTGAAAAAGAACAAATCTGGAGGACTCACACTTCCTCATTTCAAAACTTACTGCAGAACTACATTAATGAAAACAGTATACCATGGCATAAAGACAGACATAGAGATCAATGGAATAGAATAGAGAACCAGGAAATAAACTGTTGCATATATGGTCAAATGATTTTTGACAAGAGTGCCAAGACCATCAATATTTGGAAAAGGACAGTCTTTTCAACAAATGGTGCTGAGAAAACTGGATACCCACATGCAAAACAATGAAGATAGACCCTTAATACCAGATACAACAAGTAACTCAAAATGGATCAAATACCTAAATGTAGGAGCAAAAACTATAAAATTCTTTGAAGAAAACATAGAGGGGAAGCTGAATGACATGGGACTGGCAGTAATTTCTTGGCTATGACACCAAAGACATAGGCAAGTTGAAAACATAGGCAAATTGGACTTCATAAAAATTAAAAACTATTGTGCAAAGAACACTATCACATTAAAAAGGCACCCCACAGAATGGGAGAAAATATTTGCAAATCACATATCTTACAGGAGATTAATATCCAAAACAGTTAAGAACTTCTAAAACTCAACAACAAACGACCTAATTCAAAAATGAGCAAAGGACTTGAACAGGCATCTCTCCAAAGAAGATACATCAATGGCCAAGAAACACATTAAAAGATGCTCAATATCACCAATCATTAGGGAAATGCGAATCAAAACCACACGAGATACCAACTCACACCCACTAGGTTGCCTACTATCAAAAAACAGAAAATGACAAATGTTGTTGAGGATACAGAGAAATTGGAACTCTCATGCACTGCTGGAGAGGAGGTAAAATGGTGCAGCTGCTGTGAAACACAGTACGGAGATTCCTTAAAAAATTAAAAACAGAATTAGCATATGACCAGCAATTCCACTTCTCTGCATATACCCTAAAGAATTGAAAGCAGGCTCTTGAAGAGACATTCGTACACCCATGTTCATGACAGCGTTATTCATTCACAACAGCCACAATGTGGAAGCAAAACAAGTGCCCATCAGGATGGATGGATAAACAAAATGTTGTATGCACATGCAACGGAATTAGCCTTAAAAAGGAATGAAATTCTGACACACGCTACCATACGGATGAACCTTCAAGACGTTATGCTAGTGAAATAAGCCAGTCACAAAAGGACAAATACCGTATGATTCCACTCATACAAGGTATTTAGAGTAGTTAAATTCATATGAAACAAATAGTAGAATGAAGGCTGCCAGGGCTGGGGGGTGGTGGGGGATGGGGCGGGCGGAATGGGAAATTATTGTTTAATGGGTATTGAGTTTCAGTCTTGCAAGATGAAATGAGTTCTGGAGGTGGGTGGTGTTGATAGCTACACAACAATGCGAATGTACTTAATGCCACTGAATTGTACACTTAAAAATGGTTAAAATGGTAAATTTTATGTTGTGTACATTTTACTACAATTAAAAAAATTTATTTTTAAGTGCTTTGCTCACTATCTCCTTGGATCTCCTTTATGAGAAAACCTTCAGGTTTTTCTGTAACTCTGCAGTTTGAGACAGTAGCTTTACGCCGAACGTCTCCTGAGCATTTAGTCTACACAAAGACCCTTTCCTTCCTTTCACTCCCTGCTAGGTCGTCGTCCTGCATTTATCATCAGAAGGGCTGTGACCATCTGCCTCGTTTTCATGTGAGTACATTTTGGTTCCACAACCAGCATGGGTGCTCCCTAAGGGCAGGTGTTAGACTCTATTTCATCAACTCTTCACAGTGACCAGCACAGTGTCCTGCATTTACTCCTCACTGTGCTTCTGAACACACATTCAGAAAGTGCCAGAGGGGATCAACTTGACAGAGCAAAGAGCTTCAGCCACATCGACGTTAGGGAAGCCTTCTTGTTGGACCGCAGGGAAGCATAAACGCAAAGCAAAAAGCCACACTGCCTCTTGGGTTTGAGAAACGCCAATTAGTGAGATGTTGTTTACATTTTTAAACTTTCCAATTCTGTTGGCTTCCAGCAAAAAATTTACTGCTTGCATGACCCTGTGAGGTTCTCTTAAATTGCACTCGCAGCATTTGAAAGAAGACAAAATTTTTAAAGATTGTCCTTGAGTGGTTAACTCACTTCCAGAAACGACTTTGGCACAACGGAAAAGCTCTGTCCCGCGCCCCGGTTATAATGTACGCAAACCAAAGAAAAGAACCCAGAGTAACTCGTAGCTGATGAGCAGAAAGAATCACGAACCACAGAAGGTTAAAAACAAGTGCTTTTCTAATTCTATATATACTAGAAGCAAAAACACAACCACGGAACCTACTCACAGTTAAAATTCTTTTTAAAGAAACGGTGACATTTCTCAACAGAAACTGAAAACGGCTATTTCTCAAATTAGAGAAATGGAAACTTTTAAGGACAACCTTGAAAGTGAAAGAGTTACCTTCTTGTCAGGTTTTGGTGCATTTTGAATAGAATTTAGAGCTTGCCTTTTGTATTCAAGTTTCTCATTTAGTTCTCGTAGTTTGTTTACAGCAAAACTGGCTTGTTCATTGATCTGACTGGTACCTTCTACCGCCTCCTCACCAGCCTCACCTCCCGGGCCCTGGCGGAAAAAGTCACATGAACCGCCGTATTTTGTAACGATGGACTACTCAATAATTATTACCTATTATAGAGGTTTTAGATCATTATAATACACTGTTTCAAAATACTAGATTCCACTGAGGAAAGAATCTATAGTAGAAAGCCTAGAAGTAGATTGCTTTTTCTCAGCAAAGTGAAAAATCAAAGTATCTGGAACCAAAGTAACCGGTATTCAGAATTGCAGGAAAAAAGAAACATTAATAGCCTAACGAAAGAGGAAAAATTCCTTATAATATTTCCCAAATGGTACACCCAAGGGAATCTATACAGGACAAGGGAAGGCAGCTGAGTTATCTTCCCAATAACTCAGAATGTTCTGTGCCTCATCTTTGACAAAGACACCGGACCTGGCTTCCTTTAGGTCTTCTAAGATTATTATGAAAAGCTCATGCAAGTCCCTTTCAAATAAAATTTCCAAATTCCCACTAGTAAAAGTATTTTCAGTATACACTTTGCTCAGTCCTCTTAAAGACGTATTTTACAAATCAGTAGGTAGATTATCTTCTTTTTTTTTTTAAAGATTTTTTTTATTTTTTTATTTTTTTCCTTTTTCTCCCCAAAGCCCCCCAGTACATAGTTGTATATTCTTCGTTGTGGGTCCTTCTAGTTGTGGCATGTGGGATGCTGCCTCAGCGTGGTTTGATGAGCAGTGCCATGTCCGCGCCCAGGATTCGAACCAACGAAACACTGGGCCGCCTGCAGCGGAGCGCGCGAACTTAACCACTCGGCCACGGGGCCAGCCCCAGTAGGTAGATTATCTTACAAGTAAAATGGTTAGCATTTGAAAGTGACTTAAGATTCATAAAGAACCATATAGCTTGAAAAAACCCCAACAGATTACCAACAACCAGCATATGGATTAGATTCCGCAGCAGCCACGGCACAAAGAGCCCTGAAAAGAACTCCTGACAACTGGCCTCTGCTTTGTTTACTCTTTACTTTTCTTTCAGACTTTTTTCTTCTAACTTTTATTAATTGTAATAAACAGCAAAATAAATTTTTTTCAAAGAAAAATAAAGTATTAATCAGAGAAAGCCAATCTGTTTTCCATTTTTTATGTTCTAATCCTTGTCCATGACTATACATATTACGACTCTATACCTTGTATACATTCCAATGAGTTTTCTGCCTTTTTCATATAATACACAATGCTGAGTATTTTGAGGGTAGTATAGTCTTCAAAATTATAATTTTTATGGCTGCACAGTATTCTATGAACTAATAATACACTGAGGCACATTCCAAGCTGATTCTGCATTTTTCAGACCTCAGATGTACTAAAACGTCCTCCAACGTGCATAAACTTTTTTTCTACATTTTAGTTATTTTCTCAGGATAAATTGGAACTAAGAGTAGTCGCTCTCAAATGGTCAGTAATATACATTCCCCTCTGACTCCTAGGGGAGGTGGGACATTCTCTCATGTTTGTTTACTGTTACCTTTCACATCAACTGTCAGGTCAAGTCCTCTTTCAATTTACCTCTTGGGTATTGATCTTTTTATTAATTTGGATAACCTCTTTTGCAGCATTAGCATATTAGCCTTTCTAATTTTTGAGGTAGAGAAATAACAGTTAAAACAAACTAACCTATCTTAAAAATAATATGCAATGAATTTTGGACCAATCAGTTTAGTCGTTTTATACACTGAAAATGTAAAGAACCGAGTAATAAAACTTGAAGAAAAAAAAGTCTAAATGAATGACTTTAACAACAGTTCACAGACGCTGGCTTCTAATACCAGCAAGAGCGAGCACCTGATTCCTCAGGGCTTGAGATACAGTGCACTGGACAGAAAGAAAGAATCTGAGATAAATTATAGTCTCTCTACGTAAGGTGATTATAAAACACTTTGTTTTTCTTTGTACCTTCACAAACCCTAAAACTCGTATAAGTCATTAATAGTAAATGAGAGATGGCCCCTGGGACTATCCAAAATGATCTAGACACTAAAAGAAAATCAGACTTAAGGTAAGGCTGAGCGAGGTTTCTTTAAGAGCATCTTAATTTCATCTGACTTTTTTAAATCCCCAAATACTTCCTGCATCTCCCCGACATTCTCTTGCTCTGCTCATTTTTTCCCCATCCTTCATCTATTCTTGGCTAGACTATAGTTCTACTGATTCTCTTAACCGGCCTAAGCCACAAACGTCCCCCAGACTTTCTGCCCTCACTTTTCAGGAATCAACCTCGGCGTGTGTCTCAGGCAGACAGTGCAGGGACGTCTCTGACTCAGTGCTGGGAGGTAGCAGCCCGTGGGTCAGAAGGACAAAGGAAGAAGTGCATAAGACAAGAAGCAACAAGGCAATTCAACTTCAGCTTCTACTTAAAGTCCTGCACATTAAAAGATGTCAGTGCACATCAAATTTGGCTTATACGATACGCGCCCACCTAACGTATTCACAGCTTGTCCACTGAAGGGGCAGAAGTTAAACGTGACTCACCATTTCATCTTTGTTGGAAACCAACTGGGAGGCATGTTTTTCTTCCTCTTTTATCATCAATTTCTCATACAGGTCACTGACAATAAACGAAGGGTAATACCTATCCTTTAGGGTCTCATAAACATCTCCCTGGATCTTGCAGAATACCTCAATGCCTTTATTTCCTACAAGACACTGCTGGATTTCTTTGTAAAGTGATTTTTCCACTGATATTTCTTTGCTCTCCACAAAGAAATTCTGGTAAATTTCACCAACTAATTGTGGGATTTCATTCTGAAAAGACAGAAAGATGAAGAAAAAGGAAGGTAAGAAATAGCATCTCTGAGAACACTTATTTTCTTCTGAATTCTCTGCATTCCACAGCTGGAAGGAAGACATTTACAATGTGGGGCTTTGGCTTGTGTGCACATTCAGGGCCAAGGGGTAAGTGTTAGACCTGGAAAAAACAACTGGTTCCTTAAAATGAACACTTCATGTTGAACAGCTAACAAATGTAATTTCTTTTAAACGCTGGAAGGAAAAAAATAAGAATGAAGACAGTTCTCCCATTGCAATGGATTCCTTCTCATAAATCTCAATTCCAGAGGGATACAATTTATCAGCTAAATTCAATTTGACTTTTTTTTTTATTGAGTTATTGATAGGTTACAATCTTGTGAAATTTCAATTGTACATTAATGTTTGTCAGTCATGTTGTAGGTGCACCACTTCACCCTTTGTGCCCACCCCCCACCCCACCTTTCCCCTGATATCCACTAAACTGTTCTTGGTCCATAGTTTTAAATTCCTCATATGAGTGGAGTCATACACAGATTATCTTTCTCTCGCTGGCTTATTTCACTTAACATAATTCTCTCAAGGTCCATCCATGTTATTACAAATGGAATGATTTGGTTCTGTTTTGCAGCTGAGTAGTATTCCATTGTATATATGTACCACATCTTCTTTATCCATTCGTCTGCTGATGGGCACTTAGGTTGCTTCCACGTCTTGGCTATTGTAAACAGTGCTGCAATAAACATTGGGGTGCACAGGACTTTTGGGATTGCTGACTTCAGGCTCTTTGGATAAATACCCAGTAGTGGGATGGCTGGATCGTATGGTAGTTCTATTTTTAGTTTTTTGAGGAATCTCCATACTGTTTTCCATAGTGGCTGCACCAGTTTGCATTCCCACCAGCAGTGTATGAGGGTTCCTTTTTCTCCACAACCTCTCCAACATTTGCTGCTATTAGTTTTAGATATTTTTGTCGTTCTAACGGGTGTAAGGTGATATCTTAGTGTAGTTTTGATTTGCATTTCCCTGATGATCAGCGATGATGAGCATCTTTTCATGTGCCTATTGGCCATCAGTATATCTTCTTTGGAGAAATGTCTGTTCATGTCTCCAGCCCATTTTTTGATTGGGTTGTTTGATGTTTTGTGGTTGAGTTGCGAGAGTTCTTTATATATTAAGGATATTAAGCCTTTGTCAGATATATCTCTTGCAAATATTTTTTCCCAGTTAGTGGGTTGTTTTTTTGTTTCAATCCTGTTTTTATTTGCCTTGAAGAAGCTCTTTAATCTGATGAAGTCCCATTTGTTTATTCTTTCTATTGTTTCCCTTCTCTGAGAAGGCATGGTGTCCAAAAAGATCCTTTTAATACTGATGTCAAAGAGTGTACTGCCTACGATTTCTTCCAGAAGCCTTATGGTTTCAGGTCTCCTCTTTAGGTCTTTAATCCATTTTGAGTTTATTTTGGTCAATGGTGAAAAAGAATGGTTGATTTTCATTCTTTTACATGTGGCTTTCCAGTTTTCCCAGCACCATTTGTTGAAGAGACTTTCTTTTCTCCATTGTATGCCCTCAGCTCCTTTGTCAAAGATAAGCTGTCCATAGATGTGTGGTTTTATTTCTGGGCTTTCAATTCTGTTCCATTGATCTGTGCACCTGTTTTTGTACCAGTACCATGCTGTTTTGATTACTGTAGCTTTGTAGTATGTTTTGAAGTCAGGGATTGTGATGCCTCCCGTTTTGTTCTTTTTTCTCAGGATTGCTTTAGCAATTCGGGGTCTTTTGTTGCCCCATATGAATTTTAGGATTCTTTGTTCTAATTCTGTAAAGAATGTCATTGGGATTCTGATTGGGATGGCGTTGAATCTGTAGATTGCTTTAGGTAGAATGGACATTTTAACTATGTTTATTCTTCCAATCCATGTACATGGAATGTCTTTCCATCTCCTTATGTCGTCATCCAATTCTCTCAGAAAGGCCTTGTAATTTTCATTATATAGGTCCTTCACTTCCTTAGTTAAATTTACCCCAAGGTATTTTATTCTTTTTGTTGCGATTGTGAATGGTATTGTATTCTTGAGTTCTTTTTCTGTTGGTTCATTACTGGAGTATAGAAATGCTACTGATTTATGCAAATTGATTTTATACCCTGCAACTTTGCTGTAGTTGTTGATTACTTCTAACAGTTTTCCAATGGATTATTTGGGGTTTTCTATATGTAAGATCATGTCGTCTGCAACAGCGAGAGTTTCACTTCTTCCCTCCCTATTTGGATTCCTTTTATTTCTTTTTCTTGCCTGCTTGCTCTGGCCAGGACCTCCAGTACTATGTTAAATAAGAGTGGTGATAGAGGGCATCCTTGTCTCATTCCTGTTTTCAGGGGGATGGGGTTCAGTTTTTGCCCATTGAGTATGATGTTGGCTATGGGTTTGTCATATATGGCCTTTATTATGTTGAGGTAGTTTCCTTCTATGCCCATTTTGTTCAGAGTTTTTATCATAAATGGCTGTTGGATCTTGTCAAATGCCTTCTCTGCATCTATTGAGATGATCATGTGGTTTTTATTCCTCAGTTTGTTGATGTGGTGTATCACGTTGATTGATTTGTGGATGTTGAACCATCCCCGTGTCCCTGGTATGAATCCCACCTGATCCTGATGTATGATTCTTTTGATGAATTGCTGAATTCTGGTTGCCAAAATTTTGTTTAGAATTTTTGCATCTATGTTCATCAGTGATATTGGCCTGTAGTTCTCTTTTTTCATGGTGTCCTTGTCAGGTTTTGGTATCAGCATGATGCTGGCCTCATAGAATGTGTTAGGAAGTGTTCCATCTCCCCTAATTTTTTGGAATAGCTTGAAAAGGATAGGTATTAAATCCTCTCTGAAAGTTTGGTAGAATTCCCCAGGAAAGCCATCTGGTCCTGGAGTTTTATTCTTTGGGATGTTTTTGATTGCTGTTTCAATCTCTTTCCTTGTGATTGGTCTGTTCAAATTGTCTGCCTCTTCTTGAGTGAGCTTTGGGAGATTGTAGGAGTCCAAGAATTTATCCATTCCCTCTAGGTTATCCATTCTGTTGGCATATAGTTTTTTGTAGTATTCTCTTATAACCTGTTGTATTTCTGCAGAGTCTGTTGTTATTTCTCCTCGCTCATTTCTGATTTTGTTTATTTGAGCTTTCTCCCTTTTTTTCTTTGTAAGTCTGGCTAGTGGTTTGTCAGTTTTATTTATCTTCTCAAAAAATCAGCTCTTTGTCTCATTGATCCTTTCTACTGCCTTTTTCGTTTCAATAGTATTTATTTCTGCTCTGATTTTTATTATTTCTCTCCTTCTGCTGACTTTGGGCTTCATTTATTCTTTTTTCTCTAGTTCAGTTAGGTGTGCTTTAAGGTTGCTTATTTGGGATTTTTCTTGTTTGTTAAGATGTGCCTGTATTGCGATGAATTTTCCTCTTACTACAGCTTTTGCTGTATCCCATATGAGTTGGTATGGCATGCTATCATTTTCATTTGTTTCCAGGTATTTTTTTATTTCTTCTTTAATTTCTTCAATGATCCATTGCTTGTTCAGTAGTGTGTTGTTTAGTCTCCACATCTTTCTCAGCTTTTTTCTTGTAATTAATTTCTAGCCTTATAGCACTATGATCTGAGAAGATGCTTGTTATTATTTCAATTTTTTTAAATTTGTAGAGGCTTGCCTTGTTTCCCAACATATGGTCTATCCTAGAGATTGTTCCATGTGCACTTGAGAAGAATGTGTATTCAGCTCCTTCAGGGTGGAGTGATCTATATATGTCTATTAAGTCCAATTGTTTTAGTTTTTCATTCAGCTCCACTATTTCCTTGTTAATTTTCCGTCTGGATGATCTGTCCATTGATGTGAGTGGGGTGTTGAGGTTCCCTACTATTACTGTATTGTTTTTAACATCTTCCTTTAGGTCTGTTAATAGTTGCTTTATGAATCTTGGTGCTCCTGTGTTGGGTGCACAGATATTTATAAGCATTATTTCTTCTTGATGAAGTGTCCCTTTGATCATTATATATTGTCCCTCTGTGTCTCTCTTTACCTGTCTTATTTTGAAATCCACTTGGTCTGATATGAGAATTGCAACACCTGCCTTTTTTTCCTTGCTATTTGCTTGAAGTATTGTCCTCCACCCCTTCACCCTGAGTCTGTGTTTGTCCTTGGGGCTGAGGTGTGTTTCCTGGAGGCAACAAATTGTTGGATCTTGTTCTTTAATCCATTTTGCCACTCTGTGTCTTTTTATTGGAGAGTTCAATCCATTCACATTGAGAGTGATTATTGATGCATGTGGACTTAATGCTGTCAATCTGTCGCTCATTATCTTGTTTTCCTGTGTGCTTTAGCCTACCCATTTAATACTGCAATTTCTTATGCTGGGTTTCTTAGATTTTTCCTTATCTATGATTTGTGACTCTGTTCTGTACTTTATTTTAGTGTCTACCTTGAAGTTTGTATTTAGAATCTCGTGTATAATATAGTCTATTCTCTGGTGGTCTCTTACTTACTCGACCAATACTGATTTAGACCCTTTGCTCTTCCCCTCCTAAATAATTATTTTCATTTTTTATTCCAACTCGTCTTATTAATTTGTAGTTAGAGTGCTAAGATCATCCTTGTTTTGGTAGTTTCCTTATTTTTACCCTAATGCTATAGTTGAATATTTGCTATCCTGTTCTGGTTCTATCCATCGGTCTCCCTAGTCTGTGGATTGTGTCCCCTTTCTCCCTTTTTTCTTTTTTCAAGTATGAGAGCCTTCTTGAGGATTTCTTGTAATGGAGGGCTTTTAGTTACAAATTCCCTTAACTTTTGTTTGTCTGGAAAAGATTTAATTTCTCCCTCATATCTGAAGGAAATTCTTGCTGGATAGAGTATTCTTGGCTGAAGGTTTTTCTCCTTTAAAGCTTTGAATATATCACTCCATTCTCTCCTAGCTTGTAGGGTTTCTGTAGAGAAATCTGCTGACAGTCTGATAGGGGCTCCTTTATAGGTTATTCTCTTTTTTTTTCTTACTTCCCTGAGTATTCTTTCCTTATCATTCCTATTTGCCAACTTTACTATTATGTGCCTTGCGGTGGATCTTTTTACATTGACAAATCTAGGAGATCTAAAACCCTCCTCTACACACATTTCTCCGTTGATCCCTAGATTTGGGAAGTTCTCTTCAATAACTTCGTTAAGCACACTTTCTGCTCCATTTTCCTTTTCCATAGTCTCGGGAATTCCTATGATCCTTATGTTCTTACTCCTCATTGAATCCATTATCTCTCGGAGATTTTCCTCATTTTTTTTAATTCTTAGTTCTCTTTCTTCCTCTGGCGCCATTCAGCCTGTGTGTCCTCGATTATGCTGATTTGCTCCTCTACGTTGTCTACACGGGCATTCAGGGAATCCGTATTCTGTTTTATCTGGTCCATTGTGTTTTTCAACTCAAGTAATTCTGTTTGATTCTTCTTTATGATTTCAATCCCTTTTGTGAAGTAACTCCAGAACTCGGATTGTTTCTCTATCTTTCTCTCTACCTCACCGAGTTTTTTGATTATAGCTGCTCTGAATTCATTATCACTTAGTTTACCTAATTCCAAGTCCTCAGGACTTAATTCTGTGTTTTTATTGTTTTCCTTCTGGTCTGGGGCTTTTATAAATTGCTGGATGGTAGAGGAGCGGTTTTTTCTCATGGTGGTAGAATTCAGTTGCAGTTACAGCCTGTCGCCACTAGATGGGGGTCGAGAGTGGCGTGTTAGCTGTCCGCCTTGGGGCAAGATGGCTGCGCCCACTGGCTTCACTGGGGGGGAGGGGCTGTTACGCACAGGCACCGGTCTGGGTTCAGATCAGTTCTGTTCTCCGGTCTCCCAAGGCCCTTGATTTATAGGGTCCCCGCGGACGGAAGCTTTCCCCCCGTCAGCGGGTCTCCACTGAATCAGCGGCAGGAGTCCTGGATGATCCCCCAGTCGCGCGGCCCCTCCCCCGCTCCTTCCCGACCTGCGCCGCAGCGATCGCAGACTCTAGGGGAGGGAGCGATGTTCTCTCCTACCATTCCAGCGCCTCCAAAGGTGTAAAGCTAGGTTATGATCTCCGCCTTCTTGGTATTGTAGGTCTCTAACGAGCTGGCATTATGTTTATTCTCTGAAATTCAGTTCTTCCAATCTTTTGTTGTATTTTGGAGGGGAGAGAATCCCGGGTCAGCTCACCCCGCCATTTTGCTCCGCCCACCAATAACTAACCTTGACTTTTTTTATCTAATATAAATAATTGGAAGTGCGGTTTCTCATTCCAGAAAAAAGTCAATATAATAATTATGTAATTTAAGAAAACAAGAAAAATATTCTTCAGGATGACAACTCATTACATTGTAATTAAGCTTATATTAGACAGTTTAGTATTAAACATTACACTGAGGTCATCTCCAGCCTACTTCAGAAATGCAAACATCTTTTCTGATTAACATAGTCTTTTCATTTCCTCTGAAGACATCTCATTAACTCTAGGAATGTTATGGAAAGTCTTCAACAGTAGTAAAAAATGAAGTCAACTTAATAAATACGAATTTACCATGCATCCCAAAACTTTTACATCCAAATCAGTGTTGCTGGGTCAAAATACTGCTATTTGAGGAAGCTGTATGCTCTTAATCCATTGAAATTTTTCAAATTGTATAGTAGTTTAGGAAAATTCTTTAGATTGCCCTTTACAATATTCCTTCGAGAGCAACCCAAAGTCAAGTTGGGAGTCAAGTCTGGTAAACAAAATGTGTAATAAAGTTGGCAAATACAATACTGAGTAAAACTGGCTTATAAATTAACAAAGAAGGGCCGGTCCCGTGGCTGAGTGGTCAAGTTCACGAGCTCTACTTCGGCGGCCCAGGGTTTTCCCTGGTTTTGATCCTAGGCGCGGATATGGCACCGCTCATCAGGCCATGCTGAGGCAGCATCCCACATAGGACAACCAGAGGCACTCACAGCTAGAATCTACAAATTATGTACTGGGGGGCTTTGGGGAGAAGAATTAAAACCAAAAGAAGATTTGCAACAGTTGTTAGCTCAGGTGCCAATCTTTAAAAAACAAATTAACAAAGAAAGGCACTCCTAAGAAGATTTAAAAATACTACGAGACTGGATTTAGTGCCTTAACCATGTAGTTTGTGATTTACGATCTATTTTAAGTTAGTATTCAGTTCTAGCTGCACTCATAGGAAGTGCAAATGAGTAATTCACTGTACACAAAGCTTTGTGGTTATTTTAATAAGCCTCTCAAAATATATGTATTATATATAAGTATTGTTATGGATATTTCTATACATATACATTTATATTTCACATTCTTTAATTCTTAAATATATACTGAGAACTTGCCAAGTGCAAAACACAATGCTTACCATTGGGTTTTTCACTGTAAGAGGTATCTGTAACCAAAACTGTTTTTTGTATTCCTTAATCAAATTTAATGACATAAAAGGACAACAGGAGTGTAAAATAGGCACATTACAAATTAAAAACAACAAGGTTACAAGGTTAAGGTGTAGGTGACAAGACCAAATTTATTATAATAGCAATGTGGATATCTATATGCCTTTTTATCATGTGTTAAAAGATAACTACCTGAAACTAAATTCAATCTTTTGGTACGTGTATCAATCATTCTTTCCCTTGACTATACATTCAAAAGCACCTTTTACAAAAAAATCTAATTTTATTTACCATTATGGGCTAGAACACAATGTCAATGTTATATTTGGTTTAAAATCTTCTTCTAATGTATACTTATCTTACAGCTTCATTGAGAAAGACAGATACACTGCCTAACATGCAAGTTTTCACCAGCTAGTGATTAATAGTCCTTTGAGCCTACATATACTACCTTGTTAGCACTCTTTAAATATTCCACAGCCTCCCAGAAACCAATCAGAGCTCTCTTGTCCATCCTTTCCATGTACATTCGAAAGTGATCTCGGTAGAAATTATTGGCCAAGATATCTTCAAATTGAAGAATCTAGTAAGGGAATTTAAGAAAAAGGTTTTAAAAATCAAATTTTAAAAATCAGTTTGCTTTAACTTCCAATATATTAATTTCTATATTCAGGAAAAAATGCCTCCTTTTTTAAGGTCATAGTCAACATAATATAGCAATTCTCTCACCTTCCTAAATTTTAAATGGAATAAAATTTATTGAATATTCAACATGCACATATTCAATAAATACCAATTTTCTATTCATTGTTCACTCATTCAGCAAAAGAATTTATTTGGCATCTACTCTGTATCAAACACATACATTTCTAGGAAATGGAACAGATAAAAATTCCTGCCTTATGGGATGTATTGCTAAAAGTAATAGGTGCCAATAATAGAAAAACTGAAGAGAAATGTGTAGAAGATCATGAAGCTGGAGTCCAGGAATTTGGCATTTTTGCTTTCCATCCTATTATGATGAAGCTGAGGAAATCTAAAAATGATTTTATATCTTGTCCTTCTGTTGACAATACGACATTCCTTAAAAAAATCTTTTTAAGCCATTTTAATTGGTCCATAACATTCCATTGTGTGGATGCACCAAAATTACTCCTTTGTTTACTATTTTGAATGCTTACAAAAAAAGAAAAACCACCATCTAAAGAGACAGTGGGAACAATCTTGAGCACGGGCTGCCGTAATATGAGAGAGCAGATGACCTTCAGAATAATTCATAACTCAATTAATTAGGAGAAATGCCTCAAATTAATTTAGAAGGAATTTAAGTCCCATATCCTTAATTCTTAATTAGTAATAAAAAATGGCATCTAAGTATAACTCAAATGCAATTAAAAGAAAACATATTTCAAGATTCTTAAAATAAATATTGTGGCAGTTGGAAAATTCTCAGAGATGTTACCCATAAGATCTTTCTAAACTCAAGCACATATGATCAGGTACATTAAACTCTTCTGTCACTCACAGTAAGCTCTCAATCTGTTTTGTGGGCAGAATGGGGGCAGGCATTTTTCTAACAATTTCTGGGGACTAATTAAAGAGGATGGCCATCCCTTGCTACAGATCATTAATAATGAGTTTCTATGAATATTTCAGACCATTAGTATTTAGTTAGTTTACTAACTTAGGGAGATCATCGCTTGTATCTTTATGTAAACCCTACTAGCGAAGCATCTTGAAGTACAAATCCTAACTGCATATGCTCCAAAGAGGCTTGAAGGAACCCACATCAACTTTGGCCAGAGACGACAGATCACCCAGAGAGCTATCCATTTTTAACATAGAGAGGAGCTGAGCAGGAAGGACATTCAACAAATTCTATGGAAGTCTTCCCAGCATAATTTCACGGATTTTAATGAATTCCAAGTTAGATACAAATTCATGTATTTACAAAATCAAGTCCAAAATATCTTATGAAATATTAACCCTTTTTAGATTCTTTTATTGTATCTAATGAACACTCTATGTTCACTTCGATAAGTGCAAATATATACAAATAAATGACAGTAAATATATCTCAAGTCTAATTAAGCATCTGCTATATCTCATACCTTGGCTGGTTTAAATTAACCAAGTTCTGTATTCATTTTTCCTTTTCTTGAAGCCTGCGTGAGCATTTCACTGTGTAACACCTACACTAACGGTGTGGCTCTGGGTGAAGAGGCTGAGTAGACAGCACATTTCGGAGTCAAATTCGTTTATTTGAGATTAACTCAATCTCAATTAATTTGAGATTAATTGATCTCTAATTCTGACATTGCTGTGTGGAAGTAGGAAGAGAAGGCCGGATAGGTCAAAGTTGACAGTACTGCTAAAATAATGATTTTTTAAAAAAAATATATAGACAATATGATAATTAACATTTACTAAGGGTTTCTACAGAGCAAACACTGTACTCTTGCTTTAATTTATTTCTGCTACATTTTCTTTCCTTTCTGTCCTGAGACCTCTGGTAATTCTGGGAAGGGTGTTACCAAAATCAATGGTCTCCAAGTAGGAGACAAAAATGGGTCCTGGTAGATGATATGTGTGCTAAAGGCCATAGAGTATTTCAGGCTAGAGGCAGCCTACGAAGGCAGATCATTCTTTATTCCCCTTCAGGGATTTTTATTTACTCCTTTTTCACTATCTCCCAATCCCACTGGATCCAGTTTCACAACATGTATTTTATAAACTTAGTTTTGTGTGGATTACCTGTTAACCAGCTGGTTAACCTTTCTCCAGGAAATATATCCACTAAACACTCAAAAGTACCAGGGCCTAGAAATGTTCTCTTAAAGCACCCAACATGCTACCAAGAGTGACCTTGGCCAGGATTCTCTAGTTGGAAAATACCCACAATATACTCATGAGAATATCTACAGCACAGTAATGAGAATATGTAGGATTAGGATCTTGGGAATGACGTTCTATCCTAAAAGGAGAGATCGCAACTGGATTTCTCTTACGTCGATCTCATCACTAAACATACTCCCTTATAATTAATGCCAAGTGTGGTACTTATCCTTTTAAGTGCCTTATTTAACAGTTACCATACTATATAGGTTATGTCCAATTATCTCTATTTTACAAATGGAGTACAGAGAAGCTCCATAAGAACTCCTGCAGAAAGAGTCAGGGAACCTTTCCACATTCAAGTTCAGAGTCCTGGGCTATACTCACTAATGTTCGTTTGGGATTGGCCTTGCGGATCAAATACAAATTGATATGAAAACTGATCCTAGAGGTCAGACATTTGCTATCACTAATTTCCAAACCCTATATATTTTCATTTCCTCTTTTCCCTTTATTTTTTCTTAAACTCCTCCTTCCATCTTTCCATTGTGAGGCCATTTTGGAGGAGGGGGTTGCTATCTTGAAAAAAAAAAAAAAATGCAATAGATTTTTTCTTTTTTCATATTGGGATGAAAAGCAAGATAGGAAGGTAACACCAAGCAGTTAAAATTGTTCAGGCCTTGGAGTTAGACATAGCTAGGTTTGAATTCTAGCTCTGCTACTTTCTAGTCCTATGAGCTCTGTCACTCCACCACCCTGAGCCTCAGTTTCTTCACCTGTAGAATGGGGATAGCACCACCTACTTTACAGGCTGTTGTGAGACTTATTGAATCACAACAGACAACAACAAAAACTAATCAGTAAGAGCCTGAATCAGGATTTCGGCTAAAAAAGAAAAGATAACGACAGGTGCCAAAAATCAGGGTAGTTAAGAGGCTGCTTTCTAGATGAGTAAACGTGAATTAAAGGATTAGATCAGTGAGTCTCAACTAGGGTGGAGAGATTACAAAGGCGCATGAAGAAACTTTTGTGGGTGATGGATATGTTTCCTATCTTGACTGTAGTGAAGGTTTCATGAGTATATACATACGTCAAAACTTATCAAACTGCACACTTTAAATATGTGCAATGTATTTTATGTCATTATACCTTAATAAAGCTGTTTAAAAAAGATTCCATCAAGCCTTGACAACAGCATTGGAGATCAATGATGTACACAATGTTTATACTAAGGACCCACCACATATATTGAGTCATTTTTCTATTTATAGATTGCTGGAGTTGATCTGCTAATGTTTTCTTCAGGAATTTTCTGTTTAAGGTCATGAAGAATATTGGTCAGTAGTTTTCTTCTCTGATAATGTTTTTCTCTGGTTTGGTATCAGAGTTATGCTGGCTTCCCATGATGACTTGAAGAGTTCCCTTCTCTTCCATTCTTCGAAAGTGTGTGGTTAAAATTGATATTACCTCTGCCTTAAATGTTTAATAGAATTCACCAGCGAAATGATCTGAGCCTGGAGTTTTCTTTATAGGAAAGTTTTAAACTACAAATTCTTTTACTTTAATACATCTAGGCTACACTCAGATTTTCTATTTCTTTTTGAGTCCGTTTTGATAATTTATGTTTTCAAAGGAATTTGTCTATTTCATTTGAATTGTGAAATTTATTGGCTTAAAGTTGTTCATAATATTCCTTTGTTATCCTTTTAACGCACATAGGAGCTATAATGATGTCCCCTCACTCATTCCTAATACTAGTAATTTGTGTTTTCTCTCTTCTTTTCCTGGTCAGTCTATCTAGAGAGTATAAATATTATTGATCTTATCAAAGAACTGCCTTTTGGTCTTGTTGATTTTTCTCTATTGTTTTTCTGTTCTCTATTTCATTGATTTCTGTTATATTATTTCCTTCCTTCTAGTTATTTTACTTTTAATTTGTAGCTTAAAATGGGAGATGACTGATTTTAGACCTTTCTTCTTCTCTAATATAAGCATTAAACACAGGAAGAGGACCTCATCTACGCTAAATGTGGCTAGAAGTTTATTTAAGACAGCAGAGGCTGAGGAGGAGGAGGAAGAGTGACAGTATTCAACCTGCCAAATCCACTCTCTCTGATCTTCGCCAAAACGTGAAGTTTTCACTTTGGACCACAAAGTCAAAAATCACAGAAAGGTGTATTTGTTACGAGCAAAATAAACAGAAATCCAGCAGTTAGGGGACTCCTCTATTAAACCAGAGGTGCTCAGGGTTACATTTGTGCCACTTGTGCAAGATGCTGCAGGAGAACTCTGGCTTGGGCTAGAATTGGTCCAAGTTAGAGCACAAACTTTCCTGAAGAGGCTCAAACAGAGACTGGGCCAGGAGCACGTGAAAAGGTAAAAGTTTATCACTGGAAGAAGGAAGAAGGAGAAAGCCACAGATAAGCATCTGAATTCAAACTGAGAGCTGAACAGGAAAAGATCAAGAAACTAAAAACCGGAACAGGCTAAGTTAGAGGCTGTCACCAGAGCTAAATTATACTGCTGTTCGCTTCTTTGTGGCCCAATGCCACCTTACACAAGAGGAGTTTGGAGTTTGCCTCAAAGTCCTGTTCGCAAGTGATATAGCCCAGCTCCTCGGGGAGCACTGTGGCCGTTTCCTGCAATCTTAGCATGCACTAGGTCTTGGGAGACAAGCTTGGTCCTTGAGAATCAGGGCCAGTACCGAGGAAAGGCTAGAAAGCACTTTCCTAAGCTCCATGATTTGAGGACTCGGTATGAGACGGCGCAAACTTTTGTTGTACAAAAGCAGTCCGTGACACATTATGGTTTGGTGAGGAAGCACTTAGATTTGTGAATCAACTAGATTCAAGTTTTTATCTAGTTCTGCCTCTTCTTATCTACGTGGCCTTCAGTAATTTACTTAAACTGACTGTTTCTTCACCTGTAAAACAGGGATATCAAGTACATATTTCATAGCATTGTGCTGAGCGCTAAGTAAAATAACTTATAAGACACCTTCTACTCCACAGGTGGTTATTCCATCCAATTGGTAATGGGTAACTGGATTGGGCCTTTGCAAATATAAATATGCTCATCTGGGATTGTGGGAGGGCAAAAGGGGGATGGGAAAATACACTCAGGCATGTGAGCACACACATACACACACCCCATGCCTACCAACCTACCTGTTACCAGTCACAGAAGTCAGGACTCCAAGAAATATAGCTCTTTGACTCATAAAAACAAACACATGAGTCTATGTTCTGCAACATATGTCTTAAGTTAAACATCAAAAAGTTAAAAGACTATATATGTGATTACATCAGTGTTCATAACAGACATGAAATGGTCAAACCAAGAAACTCCAGAGTTCTACCTTCTGGCTTTGAGGCCCTTCCCACTCATCCAAGGCCCCATCGTCTTGCTGGTCATAGGCAGGGCCTCCCAGGGTTCTGATTCTCTTCTCACACTGCTTCTTTGCCACAGTCAGCTGGTTAATGTACCTTTTCATGTTCCTGGCCCTCAGGAGATCAGCCTTCATTGCAGCAGTTTCTTTACCTTGAATGGGATGGATGGACAGTACCCAGTCAGAGGACAAGGTGCAAGAGAGGGAACACAACAACGCTGAACCAGATTAGTGTCTGATGTGGTACATTCTGAACAACAGTGGGTCCTAAACTAAAGAACAGAATAGAACAGAATAGAATTCATGCTAAACACACATACTCTCACATAGAAATACCAATTTCTTAATATAATTTCTAAATATACCTCTGATAAATCTTACTAAGTGTAAAACATAAAAGAACCTCCTCTGTACATGTATACTCACAAATCGATGTGCTTATGTATTTTTTTAATATCTTTATATGTATGTATATGTATGCATGGTCATTTATAAGCATGGATTGAGTGCTTGATAGGTGTCAGGCACTGGCTACGCACTTGGGATCAAGACCAATTGTTTGATCTCATGGAACCTGAGTCCGGCAAGGAAGAAATCCAAAGGTAGCATGAGCAATTACAAGTGTAAGATGGGCTATAAAGACAAAGTGTAGGCACCACTGAACTGCTTAACAGGAGATTCTAACCCAGGTTTCCCGGAGGAAATTACATTCAAACAAAATGAATAAGGAGGGGAGTGTGGCGGACAGAGAGCAGAGCTTTGGAGGAAGTGAAAGAAAGCCAGTATAGCAGACACAAAAGCAGTAAAGAGGGATCCAGAATGAATCTGGAGTAGTCAGAAGCCAGAAGATGTCTCTCAGTCCAAAGAAAGAACTTTGGTCTTTAGCTCAAGAGCACTGAGAAGCTTTTAGTGGGTTTTAAGAGTATGCCATCCATGGATCTGTATTTTTAAAGATTACACAGGCACCAGGATAAACAATAGTTGTAAGGTGAAAGACTGCAAGTAGAGAAACCAGTTGGAAGATCATTGCAGTAACTGAAGAGGGAGATGATGGCCTAAAATAGGGTCACGGCAATGGGAGAAGAGAGGACTACAAGGATTTCAGGATGATTGAGAAAGAGAGGGGCTGGCCCAGTGATGCCGTAGTTAAGTTCGCATACTCCACTTCAGCGGCCCTGGGTTTACCGGTTCGGATCCTGGGTGCAGACCTACACACTGCTCATCAAGCCAATGCTGTGGAGGCATCCCACATACAAAATAGAGGAAGATGGTCACAGATGTTAGCTCAGCACCAATCCTCCTCACAAAAAAAAAAAGAAAGAAAGAAAGAGAACTAATAGGATCCAGTGACTGACTGGACAGCGTAGAGGACAGGTTGCTGAGGAATGTAATGAAAACACAGGTATCCAAGATGGCTCCCAAGTTTCTGCCATGAGCAGCCATGGAGATGGTGGCACCAATTATTGAATCAGGGAACATGAGAGAAAAATCAGGTTTATGAAAGACCATAAGTTCAATTTTGGACCATGTGGCAGATGGTATTTGTCAAAGATGGCCGCAATAATATCTCCCATCTCATATGCTCTTTTTATGATGTCACTTTGACAATCTCCCTCTGAGAAGTAGGGTTCCTTTTCGGGAACCTGGGGAGGTTTGTGATTATGGAGGGGGTGATGCTATGACTTCCAAAACTAGATCATAAAAGGCCACTGACTTGACGCCTGAGCTGCCTCATAAGTCATACAACAGCCATGAGGTTTCTGCACTTTGAGGAAGCCTCAACCATCAGTCTATGGAGAGATCACAAGGAGAGGCTCCCAGATCACAACCCTAGCTGAGATCTCAGCCCACAGCTAGCACCAACTTGGTACCATGTGCATACGCCATCTTGAAAGTGAACTGTCCAGCCCAGTCAAGCAGGGATGTCATCCCTGCCACACTCTGCCCAAACTGCAGCTTCATGGGCCAAAGAAATGACTGTTGTTTAACACACTACGTTTTAGGGTGGTGTGTTATGCAGCAAAGGGCAAATTGAGTTTGAGGGCATCTGAGCTATCTAAGGAGAGACACAAGGTGTGGAGTTCAGAAGTGTTCAGCTCTTGCATGGTAACTTAAGTCATGGGAGTAGGTGACACAACTCAGGAAGAAATAAAATGATCCCAGGACATAATCTAAATAAACCCTACATTTAACAGTCAGAGAGAAGAAGAGAAGCCGACAGGGAGAGTGTGAAGGAGAGAGAGAAGGTGAAGGAGAGAGTGCGGGTTACCGAGAAGCCGAAAGAGAAAGGATTTCAGCGAAAGGGGAGAAGCGGTACCTCTCATCTATTTCACTGAGACAGCCTCCTAACCGCTCACCATGCTTTCAGCTCTGCCTCCCCTTCAGTCTTCATCTCTAGATAGCAGCCAAGGCAATCCTACTAAAACCTGAGTCAGACCATGTCATTCCTCTATCCAAACACCTCCAACGCAGCCCCAGTTCACCCACAGCAAAAGCCAAAGCTCTTACACGGGGCCGTACGCACTCTGGCCTCAGCATCCCCTCTCTGACCTCATCCCCTCCTACTGACCACGCCAGCCATACTGGTCTCCTCAATGTTTCTTTTCTTGTCTTTTTAAAATAACAGCTTTAGTGAGATATAGTTCATAGACTGTTCCATTCACCTGTTTAAAGCGTACGATTTAACTGCTTTTAGTACATTTAGAGAGTTGTGCAACCACCACCACAATCACTTTTAGAACACTTGCATCACCCCAAAGAGAAACCATGTACCCATTAGCAGTCACCCCCCAACTTCTCAGCCACGGGCATTTTTATAGGGCTGTCTCTATGGATTTGCCTATTCTGCACATTTCACGTAAATCACATCTTACACTATGCGATCTTTGGTGACTAGCTTCTTGAACACACTGAGAAGCTCCTGCTCAGGGCTTTTTTTTTTTTTTTTTTTTTTTAAAGATTTTATTTTTTCCTTTTTCTCCCCAAAGCCCCCCGGTACATAGTTGTATATTCTTCGTTGTGGGTCCTTCTAGTTGTGGTATGTGGGACGCTGCCTCAGCGTGGTTTGATGAGCAGTGCCATGTCCACGCCCAGGATTCGAACCAACGAAACACTGGGCCGCCTGCAGCGGAGCGCGTGAACTTAACCACTCGGCCACGGGGCCAGCCCCTCCTGCTCAGGGCTTTTATATTTGATTTCTCAGACCAGCCCTTTCATCCCCCGTATATCTGCATGGCTTGGTTCCTCACCCCCTTCAGGTTTCAGGGAAGACCTCCCTGGCCACCCTATTTCTAACTGCAACCCCCTCCCTACAACAGCATGACTTTTCTCCCTTTCTGCCTTACCCACTCTGGAGTGCATACTGCCATACTGGATATCCCACTTATTTCTCCTGTAAGTACATCCTCATGAAGGTGGGCATTTTGTTTTTTTATACACTGCTGTATCTCCAGCACCTACAACAGTGCCTGGCAACACAGCAGGAACTCATTAATTATTTGTGGAATGGATGAATGAGTTGTGTCAAATATTACCGAGAGGTCAAGAATAATACCACTGACATTCTGCTGAGTGCTTACTATTATACCAGGTATTGTGCTCTTTCTAGAACTTTGGCTGTGAAGGTGAGAAACAGGGTGAGTACCCTCACCTCCCACTCTCTAACTTACTCCAGAATGATTTCTATCCCTTCCCTGCACCAAATCTGTCGTTGCCAAGATCACGAGTGACCTCCAGGTCAAACCCAGTGGAGAGTTTTCCATAGAAGTCTGGGGTCAGGGTTAGATTAGAATTCTGGCTCTGGGGCTGGCCCCGTGGCCAAGTGGTTAAGTTCGCGCACTCCGCTGCAAGCGGCCCAGTGTTTTGTTGGTTCGAATCCTGGGCGCAGACATGGAACTGCTCATCAAGCCACGCTGAGGCAGCGTCCCACATGCCACAACTAGAAGGACCCACAACGAAAGAATATACAACTATGTGCCGGGGGCTTTGGGGAGAAAAAGGAAAAAAAATAAAATCTTAGAATTCTGGCTCTGCCACTTATGAGCTATGTGGTCTTAGCAAGAACTTTCTAAAATTTAATTTAAAAACCTTTACAGTGGGTTTTTTCCCTTAAGTTGACCCTATACAAAGTAAAAGCAAAAAAACTTAAAGTTAATTTTTAAAAATGACTAAGCTCTGAGCATCTCCTTTGCACACACAATGTGAAGGCAGGGGTTGGGGTTGAGAAAAGGCTTTTTTTTTTAAATGGGAGAGAAATGAGCTGGTTTTAATGCTGATGAGAAGGAACCAGTTGAGAGAGAGAGAGGTGATAGACGAGGCAAGGAATCCAGAAGACAGGTGAAGAGACTGGCTGTGGAGAAGGCCATCTCCTGCACTGTAGTAACAGGGACGGCAGAAGAGATGGATATAGATACAAGCGAGTTTGGAGACTGGTGGCTGGAAGCTGGAGCAGTTCCCTTCATAGGGATTCTGTTTTCTCGAAGTAGTGAGTGAGGTTATCTGCTCACAGGGAGGTGGGTAAAAAGGGTGAGTGGTCAGAGGCTTGCAGAAAGTGAAACCCACTGTGGAACACAGAAGAGCAAGCTCACTTCAGGAAAACAGGGTAAGACTGTGTTAGGCAGTGTTCAGGGCCTAGATGACCGCCAGATAAATGTAAATATTCCTAGGCAGGTCCAAAACACTTTCCGGAGGTGAGTCATAAGATGCTTGGCTTAGAATGGAAGTACCAATAATAAAAGAAGAGGGTCTGTGTTTTGTTTCTTGGCGCCCCTCAAACTGGAGTCTAAGTAACGTTTCACACATCGCATCAGAGACCCCTAACACCCTAGGATCACCGTCGCCTCTCTCATGTCTCACTCAGCCAATTTGTGCAAATGCTTAAAATAGTACCTAGGCAGGCTGAACAAATTAATTTAAAAAACAGACAGGTACCACAAAACATCTTCTCTTTCAGAAGCAGCTTTTCCCACTATTTATCACAGAGGGATCACAGGCAGCCTTCAGGTCAATAGGATGGTCTTGTTCAAGGGGGTCTGCCAGATACCATAGGATGTTTTTCCATATGTGTGCTGTGGAGATATTTTCATTGACTTCCACAATGGTTTCTCGACTTGTCCTATGCTTGGCTGACGGGGAGGCCCTGACCAAGGAACTT